CCCTGTTTTTTTAATTATTTTCAGATGTGTTGAGAAAGACGACGTTTTAGTCCTTGTCACTATCATCATCTTCAATAAAAATCAGTTTAATTTATTTATTTATTTATAGTCCACACGATCATGAAATTCCTTTGAATTCAAAAGCCTCTGCCTCATGAGAGGAGAGTCAACAGCAACTGGCAAACATATCACTGTCAGTAAAGCCCGAACAAGCTGATAAAATTAAAGAGACTTACTTCACAATAGACTAAAACATTGATATCATTAACATCCACTGAATTTCATCGCAAATATGTTCGCGTTCCAAAACTTCATATAAGTATATGCCGTGGAGGGACACCTTTGTGCTCTTCACCATTGTAGCCTATGTAGATCTTATAGTGATATGATACATTAATAACAGAAATGCAAAGTGTAGACTAATGTCAACCCTTTGAATTTATATTATGTTGTAGGGTAGTGGAAGTCCAGTGGATCAAAAAGAGAAATTAAACTCATTGGGAGATATCCGATCGAATAGTGAATGAGTGATACATTTCGCACGAGTTTTGTCTAATGTGGTCTTCCATGAATCCAATGGCATGAGGGAGTACTCATATGATGTTTCTAATTCAAGGAGGAGCTTGAGTATCTAAGAATGTCCAATCTAATATTGTTTTGGGAATGGTTTGTCTTCAATTTTATTTCAATCTTTTAATATGGTTTTGTGAGTGTTTATGCATTTAATCATCAATTTGTTGTCATGGATCACAGAGCTAAATGAGAGAGAGACAATTTTGAACTATGTTACCTCATCTCATGTGTTTGTCTTTGAACCTCCCAGTGTACTGAAAGTGAAATAATGTCAATATCGTGAAAAAGAACTATTACCTCATCCTCCTTCATAACTATATGAGATATTTATCATAATATCCCTTCAAGATGAAATATAATTAACAATTCGATTAAAAAAAATGAAGACGTAATGAAACAATAAATTCAAAATATTAAAGAGACTTACTCCACAATAGATTAAAACATTGATATCCTTAACATCCACTGAATTTCATCGCAAATAGGTTCGTGTTCCAAAACTTCATGTAAGTATATGTTGTGGGGGGACACATTTGTGCTCTTCATCATTGTAGTCTATGTAGGTCTTATAGTCATATGATACATTAATAACACAAATGCAAAGTGTAGACTAATGTCAACCCTTTGAATATAGATTATGTTGTAGGGTAGTGGAAGTCCAGTGGATCAAGAAAATAAATTAAACTCATCGGCAGATATCTAATCGGATAGCAAATGAGTTATACATTTCACATGACTTTTGTCTAATATGGTATTATATATATCCAATGGCATGAGGGAGTACTCATATGATGTTTCTAATTCGAGGAGGAGCTAGAGTATCTAAGAAGGTCTAATCCAATATTATTTTGGGAGTGGTTTGTCTTCAATTTTATTTTCAATCTTTTAATATGGTTTTGTGAGTGTTTATGCATTTAATCATCGATTTGTTGTCATGGATCATAGAGCATAAATGAGAGAGATACAATTTTGAACTTTTTTACCTCATCTCATGTGTTTGTCTTTGAATCTCCTAGTGTACTGAAAATGAAATAATGTCAATATCGTGAAAGAGAACCATTACCTCATCCTCCTTCAAAACTATATGATATATTTATAATAATATCCCTTCAAGATGAAATGTTATAACCCGATCTTAAATTAATATTTAATTAATAAAATATTCAAGTAAAAGACAAATTTACCCTGAAAATATTTTAATGGGTTTAAAATTGACTTTTTGTTTGGGAAGAAATTTGAGGATTTGAGTGATACCATGATGTAGATCACGTCGAGATGGGTCCGTAGACACGTATGGAACTCAAATCGGAGTTGTAACGAAGAAGTTACAATCTATGGAAGCCCAATGGCATAACCGTAAATGTTTGGAAGTTCATTTTTTTTTAAGTCAGAATCTCTCCCCCCCCCCCCCCCCCCCCCCCCCCCCCCCCCCCCGGGGCGCGGGGGGCGCTCTCTCCTTCCTCCATCTCTGGGCCACCAAATATTTGGGGGGCCCGCCCCTTAACGATGGGACTGGTCCCAAATGAACCTGCCAACAACGTCCTCGTCCTACCTCACCTCATTCCCGCCGCATGCAACCACCACTGTCGCTTGAATTTGCTCCAAAGTGGCTGAATTTTTCGTAAAACTTCCGACATTAGTCCCGATGATTTCGGCCACCAATTCCTCCGATCTAGGTATGCTCCTTCATCCATTTTTCGTGTTCTAACTGTTTTGATAGTTGCTTTGGATCGATTTGGAGCTGTAAATGTTCGATTAGAAAGCCTAGCTTTTTAATATGAGATTTCATCAGTTCTATTGAGACTCATAATATGAATTAAACACCTGATTTTCAGTTCACCCATGTTGAAGATTTGCAAATAATTAGTCTTTGCCTATGGTGACATATTTTGAGTATAATTTGCTCTCCCAAGCTTAAGTTATTTGCCATGTTTTGCTTTCGTAAAATTAGATATAGGTCCTTGTTTTTATTTTTCCATGTATGCTTCTAGCTGTTTCATTTTTATTTACTTTTTAAATGATTATACTAAACACTTGAATCTCAATGTACATAGCTTGTTCTTTAGTAGGCTAGCTCCTTTTTGTTTTCGCATTTAACTTAAATGAGATGATTTCTTTGTTAGTTTCTGCAATGGTAGAAGTGTATGTTTGTTAAGTCATGTTCTCAGAGAAGTTATTGGTTAATCTTGAGTCTTCAGGATTATGAGAAATTGATGGGCTTTCTCAGGGATTTGGTTAGCAGGCCATGTTATCAGTAGAGAGTGGACAAATTAGATGTATTTCTTAAATAAGATATCTTAGATTTCTATTTTAGTTAACTGGTATTGCAGCTTGTATTCATTTTACCTTGTTGCTGCCCTTTTAGTCTACAACATAATTTTTCGTTTTGAGCAATCTACTAAATCATTGTCCTTGTGTTTTTATTAATTTTTTTTAACACTAAAAGGAATCATATTTTAAAGTGGAATTTGGTCAAGTGTGCTAGGCACCTACCAGATGTTGGACATGCACAGGGTTCATTGCAGATTCCAAAGTGGAATTTGGGTAGGGTCCTATCATGAAATATAATTAACAATTAGAAGAAAAAAAATAAAGACGTAATGAAACATTAAATTCAAAAAATTAAAGAGACTTACTTTACAATAGACTAAAACATTGATATCATTAACATCCACTAAATTTCATCGCAAATAGGTTCGCGTTCCAAAACTTCATATAAGTATATGCCGTGGGGGGATACATTTGTGCTCTTCACCCTTGTAGCCTATACGGGTCTTATAGTGATATGATACATTAATAACACAAATGCAAAGTGTAGACTAATGTCAACTCTTTGAATTTAGATTATGTTGTAGGATAGTGGAAGCCCAGTGGATTAAAAAAAGAAATTAAACTCATCGGGAGATATCTAATCGGATAACGAATGAGTTGTATGTTTCGCACGAGTTTTGTCCAATATGGTCTTGTATGAACCCAATGGCATGAGAGAGTACTCATATGATGTTTCTAATTCGAGGAGGAGCTTCAGTATCTAAGAAGGTCTAATCTAATATTGTTTTGGGAGTGGTTTGTCTTCAATTTTATTTTCAATCTTTTACTATGGTTTTGTGAGTGTTTATACATTTAATCTTTCACAACGTTTCAACTTACATCACTTACCCCACCATTCAACCACTCACCTACATTTCCTTACCCTTCATATCCCATTCCTTTTGGAATGGAATCGAATAGTTTAAGGAAAGAATCTGAGACTCAATCTTCAAATGATTTTGCTTATGGACAACGTTAACAAATCTCGGATCCAAATGGGTGGCATGTTAACAATTACATGCAAAACTATTTTGGGGATTCATTATTTGATGTTGATAATTTCGCTCACATTTCAGCAATATTTTGTTAAAATATTGCTATAATATCGCTAAAATATGGATGTAATGGGAAAAAAAATGAAAAAAAAGGAAAAAAAAGAAGAAGGAAAAAAGGGCAAAAAAACACAAAGGGGATTCAAACTCCTCCCATTTCACTCCTCCAACACCTTAACCACCATATCACTTATGTTTTTGTGATAATATGCTAAAATATTTATAATTATATTGTTTTATTTTGAACTCTTTTTGCAAGAATAAAATTTTCACATGAGAATAAATCTTTCACATTCTTTTTCAAGTTTCAACTTTTGAACTACTCATCATGTTTCAACTTACATCACTTACCCCACCATTCAACCACTCACCTACATTTCCCTACCATTCATATCCCATTCTTTTTGGGATGGAATCGAGTAGCTCATGGAATGAATCCGAGACTCAATCTTCAAATGATTTTGCTTTTGGACAACGTCAACTAATCTCGGATCCATATGGGTAACACATTAACAATTACATGCAAAACTATTTCAGGGATTTATCATTTGATGACTACTCTTCACAATACACTTACTCTACACATAGAGATGATGAAGATAGTGAAAAATTTGAACCTCATAGGAACTCTATGTGGTACTAAGTCACTTATGTATCTTACCATGAGCCGATGGGGGCCCACCCAGCATATCAAGAAAAAGCCAGGCCTGCCCGACCATTTGTTGAGTGGGTTGTATAACTATATCTTTATATTTATGGAGAAAAAAAGAGAAGTATGAAGTTGTGAACAAAGAAATAAATAGAGACAGAAACATATAGACAAATATAAATAGAGGGCTAGGTAAAAAAAGAACTATATGTTTAGCCAACTCTTATTTGATGATTTGTTTTTCTTCTTCTTTTTATATTTCATAAATAAATAAATAAAAGAGAAAGAATATTTATCCTTGTTATTCAATTTTGTTAAACGGCCTTAAAATCCACATGTTTAGGTTGCATTAATATCTAGCTTTATGTTCTGACTTCATTTTTTTTAATATATTAGTGCCAAGGTGAAAAATCAATATGAATCCCTATGAGGATGCAATTTTCTGCAGCTACTGTGATAAATTCTCCTGCTATGATCCTCAAGAAGAACTAGCTCACATGATTAAACATCATAAGCATGCACTTGAGGTGCAGGGGCTGAAGGCACAAGATAATCGCAAGAGATGCAGATTATGTGTGCACAAGAATGGGTATGACCATGCAAAGGTCTTCACTAATCAAAGTGCTATGGACAAACATATGGACAAAGTCCATCCAAGGTGGGAGGACTTGTACTCATAGTGCTAGAAGAAAAAAAATGGCCAAAAAGTATTTTTGAACAACGAGGAGTATGAGGCCCACAAATAGTGGTCATCATTAGGCCCACGAAACCATTGGCCGATAGGAGCCCACCCAGCAAATCGAGAAAAAGCCCTGCCTGACTCGACTATTTGTTGAGTGGGTTGTATAACTATATCTTTATATTTATGCGGCTACTGTTATGAGTTCTCCTATTAGTTGAAAATAAGTATGAATCCTTATGAGGACAAGATTTTCTGCAGCTACTGCTATGAGTTCTCCGGTAATGATCCTCAAGCACTACTAAAGCACATGATTGAAAATCACAAGTACGCACCTGAGGTGCAGGGGCAAAAGGCAGCAGACAATACCAAGAGATGCACCCTCTTTGTCCAACAATGGTTACCAGCATTCCAAGATCTTCACTAGCCAAAAAGCTTTGGACATCCATTTAGACAACGTCCATCCAGGGTGGGAGGCTTCATATCCAAATTGCCAGAAGAAGAACTGCCACAGAGTATTTCTTAACCAGGCGGAATCCGAATCCCACAAACCCATTTGTGGGAAAAAGTGATACGAAGTGCAGAAAGTAGTATCGTTTTTATATATTATTAATATTTTGGGCACTCTTTTTCCTTAGTTTTGTACCCACTGGGTTTTCTGAAAAGGTTTTAATGAGGCCATGCTGTAATTTTTGAATATTAATATATTATTAATTATATAAAAAGGAAGAGCAATTTGCACGGTAAAGATGCAATCATTGAAGCCATGGCTTATCAAAACCATAGTCTAAAATATCGATAATATCGATGAAATATCGAGGATATTATCGTTTTTTCGAATCACAGATATTTCGAAATGTATCCATGCACATATCGTCGAAATATCGATAATATCGGAAAATATCGATGTCGATAATTTCGTTCACACTTTAGCAATATTTTGTTAAAATATTGCTATAATATCGCTAAAATATTGAAAATATCGATGTAATAGGGAAAAAAAGGAGAAAAAAAAAGGGAAAAAAGGGAAGAAAAAAAAATGGAGAAAAAAAGGGGAAAAAAAACAAAAAAAAGATTCAAACCCCTCCCATTTCACTCCTCGAACACATTAACCACTATATCACTTATGTTTTTGTGATAATATGCTAAAATATTTATATTTATATTGTTTTGTTTTGATATCTTTTTGCAAGAACAAAATTTTCACATGAGAATGAGTCTTTGACCTTTCCTTTTCTAGTTTCAACTTTTGAACTACTCATCACGTTTCAATTTACATCATTTACCCCACCATTCAACCATTCACCTACATTTCCCTACCCTTCATATCTCATTACTTATGGGATGGAATCAAGTAGCTCATGGAAAGAATCCGAGACTCAATCTTCAAATGATTTTGCTTATGGACAACGTCAACCAATCTCGGATCCATATGGGTGGCATGTTAAGAATTACATGCAAAACTATTTTGGGGATTTATCATTTGATGACTACTCTTCATAATACACTTACTCTACACATAGAGATGATGAAGATAGTGAAAAATTTGAACCTCATAGGAACTCTATATGGTACCAAGTCACTCATGTATCTTACCATGAAATGTATAAAATGTAAAATATTGTTGTAAATCATTATATATAAATTATTATGATGTGTTTAATCTTCTTTCATTAATTACTACATATTTTCTACACATACACTCACAGTGTTTGTCAGCTCACTATATAATCAACTTAAATCAGTTAAATCCATCATGCAATGCATTTCCTTCCAATTTTTTGCGATAAACTAATAGATAATTGACTAAATAAACATCCTCCAAAGTTTCAATAAAAATTTCCAAGTTTTTCTTACAATTTTCGTGGTTTTTATTCAATTTTTATCGATATCGATAATATCCCGATATTTCCATAGAAATTTCCATATTTTTAGACTACCAATATTTTTGATATGATCGATATTTTAGATATTTAGAGAGAGAGAGAGAGAGAGAGAGAGAGAGAGAGCGCATTGATTAATGCACCTTGACTTAATTAATCCACAGTACAATAAGACCATAGTATAAAATACCAATAATATCGACGAAATATCGAGGATATTATTGTTTTTTCGAGTCACGGATATTTCGAAACGTATCTATACACATATCGTGTAAATATCGATAATTTTTACGATAATATGGGAAAATATCGTATAAATATTGATATGTATATATGTATATGTATTAAACCCATGTATTTATTATAATACACATATATACACCCATATACACATATTATATATATATTTTTTAATGTACATATATACAATTATATATATAATATTATATATATATATACATGTACATACATGTATATTACAATTATAACATATCCATATATATATATATTATATTACAATATAAATATATACATTATACATAAATTCATATATACATGCACTGGCGGACCTAAGAATTTTTTAGCGGAGGTGCAATTTTGAAAGGTTAAAAACTCTTTGTAGATTGAACAACTAAGACTTTTTACCTAGATTGACCTTGGGTCCCTTCATGCATTCATATCATACATGAAAAATTGTTCTATGTAAAAATATTGACTAAGTATGAAAAATGGTTTTTCAGAATAATCATTTTCTCAAGATAATTTTTGGCGGCTTTTATTCCTTACACATTAAATAAGAAAACTTGATTTTATTATGAAGTATATATTGACTTAATGAGCTATCATTTTTAGCATGAATCGTATTTTGCACTAAAACCTATTTTTCAAATTTTGATTTGGGGGGAATTTGATTTTCTAGTATTTTTCTTTGAATCCAAATGGGGGGTACTTCCTTATTTACATTGTAAACTTAAATAAATGGAGTAATATAAAAAAAATGAAAGTAAAAAGACAAAGACATTTACTTAAATGTTGAATATGGAAATAAGGAGCAAATGGGCAATTTCAAGCACCAACAATGGTTTTTCTAGCGATGGGAGGTGCAGCTACACCTCTTTGCTCCTTAACAGGTCCGCCATACATGTATACACATATATATATTATGTATGTGTATAATATATGTAATGTATGTATGTATATAAGATATGTAATATGTGTATATATGTACATGTTTATGTATATTTATATTATTTATAATATATATAATTATAATATACATATATACATTTATGTTATACAGTGTGCTTCTATTGAAGGATCCTTCAAACTTATTTGAGGAACACCCTTATAAGGCTCACTCTGCATTGTATTTCATTATCCTCACTATCTATTTTTAGATAATCATTCAAAGATCATCTCTATAAAAAAAATCACTTTAATCCGAATATCATTTGACCACTCAATTGAGTTTTTGAAATTTTAGTACTTTCTTGAAGCACCGTATTCATTGATTTTGTATGACATAATTGGATGTCTAAACGGTTTCCTATTTGTCTAATTTATTGCAAGGATGATCTATGAATGAAGACCTAAAAAATAAATAGTCTAGATTGTTGGAAAAAAAAATTCGTAGGATACCTAAAAGTTTTCCTGTAAATAAAAATATTTGAGGGATCCCTCAATATATATATATATATATATATCTATCTAACTATCTACCTATCTATATATAGCTTCCATTAAGGGATCCTTCAAATTAACTTATTTGAGGGACACCCTTGTAGAGCTCACTCTGCATTGTATTTCACTAATACAAACAGTCTACGTTTTAGATAATCATTCAAAGATCATTTCTACAAAATATTACTTAAATCCGATATCATTTGACCATTCAATTGTGTTATTGAAATTTTAGTATTTTGTTAAAGCACCGTGTTCATTGATTTTATATGATACAATTGGAAATCGAACGATTTCCAATTTGTCTAATTTTTTGCAAGGATGATCTATGAATGTAGACTTAAAAATAGATGGTTTGGAACGTTGGAAAAAAAATTCGTTTGGTACCCTAAAGGGTGTCTATACATATATACACGTACAATATATATATATATATTTATACATATAGACATATATATAGATATTTTTGGGGAAAAAAAAATCTAGTCCTAGTCCAAGCATACAAATGCAAGATAAGTGTTATCCAACGTAGACCAAGCCAAGTCAAGATAGTCCCTAAGCATAGTTCATGCGAATAGGTCGTAAGGTTTAATTATTATTATCCTTCACTAATAGGGACAATTGAATGATGAGATTCAATTCATGCTCGGTACAAGAGGAATAAGACTTACCCACTATGTCGCTATTTATAACCTATAAGATCACACACCACAAAATGATGGATTGAGAAATAAAATACAAAAAGATTTTATGCCTTGGTCAAAGTCAAAGGTCAACTGTTGACCTAACACTTGACATGGTCAATAAGAATTGACAGGGACCAATACTTGTAAGATAATGAACTTAGTTGGGTCCCTCACGACTTAAAGAATTAAGAAATGAACCATAAGACTTTAGACTTGTGTGACACATTAAGGGATAAATGTGGTGAACCAAGAGGCCCAAAATTAGGCCACCAAGGGGAGGGAGCGGTACACATGTGTATTTAAGTCCACATGTATCACAATATGGGTTTATATATATGATGTCATAATACCATTTCATTTTAGGATTTTTCAAGTTGGGAAAATTGGAAGAGAAGAAACATCAAATCTCTCTCTCAAGTCCTCCTTGGTGGGCCACTTTGGAGAGCAAGAGCTAGCACTCTTGTGCTCTCCCAAGTTCTCTTTCTCTTATCTCCATCCATCCTTGGTGAAAAGCTTCGGGGAGTTATATACTTTTGTACCTATTGGGGAGTCGTAATGGAAGATCAACCAAGGAGAGATTAAACACTCTATTTGAACACCTTATTAGGATTCAAGATTCGCTCCAAGAGTAACTACACTTTTAATCCCTCTTTTAAGGTAGTTTTAGAGAGTATATGGTGCAACATTTCATAGCCCTAGAAAGATTTTGGTTTAATATGATTTGTATGATTTTCTAAATTTATATCTTGCTTTTGCGTTTATGTATTTAGATGAAATGCATGTTAGATAGCTCATTATCCTATTCATGTATTTGAGAAATGTATAGACATAGTTTTCCCTTCATAATGACGCCCATAGTTTGGAGGATTTACTGTAATTGATCCATTTATTATTATTATTATTGTATCAGTTTATTTAATTAGTTTTAAATAGTTTTAAAATACGTAGTTAATCTTCTTCTTTTTTTAATTTCTAAAATTACTCAATATAGTAATTAATTATATTTAATTATTTTAAATTATTTTGTGGATTCTAAAATTAGTAATTAATATCTAAAATTAGTTTAAAAAAATTTAATTCTTTAAATTAGTTTAAATTATTCAAAATTAGTTTAAATTTTCCAAATATAGTTTTTAACCATAAAACCCTAGTTTCAAGTTGTGAACCTAAACCTTATCCAAACATTATTTCAAACCTATTATGAGAACTCAACCCTAACCCTAATCCGACTTTTAGGGTAGGGAACACGTAAGATGATTTACGGTTTTCAACTTAGAGTTTTGACTTTGACATAGGGTTAGCAAGACTTAATTGGACTTAACCCTAGTTTGTGACGTTCGTCCCTACGACACATTTTAGCACATTATTTGTTATACGACTAGGAGTTTGAGTAGTTGAGCATGAACGTAACGGTAGAGTGAGTTGGACGATTGAGAACACTTGCACTAGCTAAAGCTTTGGACTCCTGGTAAGGGAACTCACTCAGGGACTTGTAGTTTTCTTGCATGTATATTGATAGTAGATAGTGATGCGTGAAAACTTTGCATAAGTCTCTTTTTTTGCCGTTTTTGTGTGATTTTTGGATATATGATGGGCACTAGTTTTGTGCATTAATGGTGTTCCGATTGAGATGACCTCAAAGTGAAGGGAGCATGGCAACCATTTTGGGGTTGGATTCCAGAAACCTTTGGAGGCAGTTATACGAATCGACTATTCCAAGGCCCAATTCCTAGGTGAGGATAGTATAACCATGGACATAGACTCTTGCTACTGTGCTGCCTGAGTTCGATTATATGTTGTTGTGGTATGGGTAGTTGGCCATAAGGATTCGTCATCAAGAGATGGTTACGAGGGCTGTTTTTGTGGTAGTTGAACATGTCAATATATTTATGACATAATATATTGTTTTGGTTGTGCATTATTTTAACGATTATTGTACATTAAATAACTAAAATGTAGTTTAACCTAATTACTTTCAAACCTGGCTCGGGTGCTCCCTGCTTAGCAAATGAACGTATGTGATGCTCACCCCTATTTTTGGTGTGCAGATCATATACATGTCGACAACCTGAACTAGGTCAACAACACGGTGATCAAGGCTTATCAACTCCTAGTTTGTTGAACCTTTGTGAATCCTTTTGTATCTATGACTTGTAATCTTGTTGATAGGGTTGTGTTTTCGAACTTCTATTTTGTTGTAAATTCAATGTGAGGTTATTGTATTTGACAAACTCTTGTAACCTCAGAGGTTGGTGTAATGTAAATATTTATTTTCAAAACATTTTGTTTTTAATATATGCTGCCAATAAAATTTTAATCAAATCTATTTTAATTTAAGCAAAAGGACTTAACGTGTTTCAGGAATACTTGGGAATATGATTCTTTGGCGATTGGACGTTGTACTCTCAAGATTATTGAGGCATGTGCCACTGTCACATGACCGAAATTTCTGGGGGTGACAACACTCACCAAATTCTTTTTCGTTTTCAAGCCTTTTCTAATTATTAATTTGGTCTTAACAATTAGAAGTGTTCCAATCAAGCAACAAAAAATAATTCAGTTATTTGTTTCCAAAAGATCATAGAAACAAAGATTTTTCCGAATAGGTTATGTCTAAGTCGAAGTCTAACTCATCCATTTATAGCAATTGGTTGATCATATTATTATCTTGATGGTAAAAGGCAAAACCTGTTAAGAATATAATTCCCACATCGAAAACTTGACTAAATAAAATACAATATAAAATAAATGGTTCAACTATTAATATCACTGAGGCATTTTGTGATAAAACTCTACACCTACTGGGCTTTGTAGGTAGTTAAGTTGGGGACAATATTGGTGTTGTTAGTAGTGGACCGCTGGTCCATCTCTCTGAAATTTAACATGGTATCAGAGCAAGTTGATTGACTGGGCATGAATTGGGCCTTTACTCTTACCCAATATGTGGTGTTCACATGTTGGGCTTGAATGTTTACCCATACCCCTTACCTAATACATGGTGTTCACGTGTTTGGCTTAAATGATTGACTCCAATGCAAACTTGGCTCCACGTGTGGCCCACTATGTGGTGGTCCCACGTGAGGGGCATGTTGAAGAATATAAGTCCCACATCGGAAACTTGACTAAATAAAATAAAATATATAATGAATGGTTCAACTACTAAGATCACCGAGGCCTTTTGTGATAAAATCTCACACCTTCTGGGCTTTGTAGGTGGTTAGGTTGGGGAAAATATCGATGTTGTTAGTAGTGAACTGCTCGCCTATCTCTCTGAAATTTAACAAGCCATGACCCATACATTATCACCAAATTAAAATAAGGTAGGTTTTCACAAACTCTCGTCACCAAATGCTTTCAAATGAAGGATAACCTTTTTAGCTCGGGTATTCATGTGTTACAACCCATAAATTAAACATACACAAAGGTAATGCTTCAAGCAAACTTTGTTCTGAAAAATTTGTCTGATAAATGAGACTTGAATATGATGTTCTTGGAATATAAAAGTTCATCATGAATAATTGTAACTTATAACGTTGTTTCTTTTATGAATCATGAAGGACAATATTATGAGTTTCATATTTTTACATGTCGACTCCAAAATAAATATTCCTTAATACGCCAATGCTTATCCTAATTTCATGATATATTTATTTGTCCTATTTAAAAGTTTCAGTTCGTTTCCTTTTATGAATATCATTCCTCTGCTTCGGTATATAATATCTTAAACTTGTCTTCCTTGAGATAATTGTTTACTTCTATTTTTGTTATAGTAAATTCTTTCTAGTTGGTTTCTTTTTGAAAAACATTAAATTTCATTAATACCTATAACATATATACCATGCAAGCTAGAGATTTCAATTATGGTGCCCAATTATGTATAATTATACTAAGTTCAACTTCAATTAATATTCTCTCCATTCAAACCTATCTTTATATCTTGAATTCAATACCTTGCCAATTGTAGAAAACACAAGGAGGAGAGTTTGTTGAGTGATTATTTGTGGGTGAAGCTACCCAATTAGCTAACCTAGCTAGCACACTAGTAGTGATAATTGGTGTACGAAAAATCTCTTATGCATTGCAGTTAGTTCAAAACACGCTTTCTTAGGGTGCGCTTTCTAAGAGCAAATCCACCCTAACACTAAAACCGAGCCCCTCTTGCGAAACCAGAAGGCCTTCAACGCGAGAGTAGCAAGCCGGGCAAGCGATGGGTCCCTAAACTCTCCTCCTTCGATTATGGTGCCCAATTATGTATAATTATACTAAGTTCAACTTCAATTAATATTCTCTCCATTCAAACCTATCTTTATGTCTTGAATTTAATACCTTGCCAATTTGTAGAAAACACAAGGAGGAGAGTTTGTTGAGTGATTATTTGTGGGTGAAGCTACCCAATTAGCTAACCTAGCTAGCACACTAGTAGGGATAATTGGTGTACGAAAAATCTCTCATGCATTGCAGTCTGTTCAAAACACGCTTTCATAGGGTGCGCTTTCTAAGAGCAAGTCCACCCCAACACTGAAACCGAGCAAAAGGCCCCCTTTGCGAGCCCAGAAGGCCTCCAGCGTGTGAGTAGCAGCCCAGGCAAGCGATGGGTCCCACCAACCTGGGCTAGCCCATGGACAAAATCTGCCTGGGCTGAAGCCCGAAGGTGCTGACATCAGCAAGCGTAAATTCAATTTCTTTTTACTGTTGGCGCGTGAATTTCAAGGTCCAACAATAAAAAAAAAATTTGATTTTCGCTCGCTGACAGGCCCCAACGAGAATATGCCACGTGGCCCTTCCTGGACGCTCCGATGCAATTTTTTTTCCAGAAATCCGACGGTGCAAAAAAATTTGATTTTTTTTTAAAATACCAAAAAATTCTAGATTTTTTTCCTATAAATACCTAACAATTTTATTCACTTTCCACACCAAATCTTCATACAAACTCATCTCCTTCCAATAATTTTCACTTTCCATACCAAATTTTCTACTACAAAATTTCATTTGTGTAAAAATACAAATGGCCTCTTCCATCGAAGCTGGAGGGTCGTGGACAAATGTTCGAAGAGGTCAAAATCTTGGCAACAAGGTAAAAAAAATTAATTTCCGTTTTATTAAATTTAATGTCTTATATATATATATATATATATATATTTCTTGCATTTCCAATTTCATGTTTTTAATAGATTAGTCAAGGCAAAACAAAAAAGAGGAAAACCATTACACATGGCTCCTCAAGTGAACAATGCCCATAGTTGGTTCCAATGGTGCGTTCCATGTCTGAAATAATGGCACTATTACATCCTCCGAAGGAAAATACTCCCCCACGTCGTGATTCAGTGGAACCGCATCCGCCAATGATTAAGTCGTTCTTGTACTCCATTGTGTCGGACTATGAGGACCGAGAATATTTCAATTGTATGATGAGTGAGTAGGTATTTCAATTGTATGATGAGTGAGATGTGAATTTTATAATAAATATGGACACGTGGCAACTAAAAATTTTATTCGAAAATTTAATTTGAAAATTTTATCCGAAAAATGTTATTTGAAATTTTAAGTGAGAATTTTATAATAAATAGGGACATGTGACAACCGAAAATATTATCTAGAAAGCTTATCAAAATTAATGGTTTAAGTATAAAATAATAATAATAATAATAATAAAGTAAAATGAATAGTATTTGCCATTACCCTTGCCCTTTGGGGTGGAACCAAAAAGGCATGGCTGCCACTATTCATGTGAATAGTGACAGCCCTTGCCTTGCCTTAGCCTTTTGAGGTGGACTTGCTCTAAGACCCTATAACTATAGCACATGCCCAGTTTAGCTCGACCATGTTACATCTGAAATCCCATATTTGAAGCTAATCAAAGCACCACGTACATCTTTGTCATTAGAATACGAAGAATTTAGAGTCTCATATGTCAAAAACTTCACAAATTAAAATACAAAATATAACGAGTGATGTGATTAGTGATAACACCAGAGTCTTTTGTGATAAAATTTCAAACCTGTTGACTTATGCGCAAGTGGTCAAGTTAAAGAGACATTATTGGTGTTTGGTAGTAGTCGCTTGCCTTTTTCTTTTTTGGTCCCTATGAATCTTCAACACGCAATCTTTAGGTTGCTGTATATATGACCAGAAGAAGAAGAAGCCTCTTTGCTTTGAAAATTTGGATGCTGATTTTGTCAAAATATGATATCTGCTGGCAGGCAGAAAGTGAATGCATTACAACCTCATGAAGTGGAGAATATAATTTTCCATCTCTTTTGCATGTTGCTTTCTTAATTGGTTGATATTTGGTTGGGTACATTTAGAGTTCAAAAAAAGATGTTCATCTGCGGGTCATGAAACAGTGTTAATATTTGGTGGAAAGTAGCCAAAATAACTAGAGTCCATTAATATTGTAGCCGTACGCTTGTTCACAAAGAATTAAGTTGGTGGGTTTTCACTTACCATCTAAGATTGATATCAAGGAAAGTCCCCCACATGTCCACAATTACACTCAACAATGCATCAATAATTGACAATAAACCTACACGATGACAATGTATCAATAATTGACAATAACCTGCAAGATATGTGAGCAATTGTCGCTAACACAATATATCATTTAAATAATAAGTGTAAGAAAAACTGTTCTATATAAGATAGTCACATCGAGCCTTATCTTAAAGCGGTATAATTACTAGTTAAAACACATATTCATTAAATTGACATAGGCCATGTATAGTAGACAGGCCATGTAGACATACCATGTCGTATGTCATTTGTTAATGTGTCCCGTTTACTTCATTTTCTTGGTTGATTTGGAGGAGAATTTTTGCAGCCTTCATTTGTGCAAACAAATTACAGTAGTTAACTTGGTATAGAACCGTACTTGAGAGTTTCCGACCTCATACAGCTCAGTGATCAAATTCTTTTGGTGTCTTATTTTTTCATTACCCTATACAAATTAAATGAGATTTCTCAGAGATATATCCATATACCCTTTCTTTTTTTTCGCTTTTTTGTGTGTGTGGATTTGATCAACCTCATAAACTTATTTCTTGTATGCATATAATTGTATGGAGGGGTCCATTTTAAGGGTTTGTCGAAGGTCCCAAAATCCCAAGAATGGAGCTGCTTTCAGTGATAACTTATGAATCTGGTCTGAGAGGGTGGGTCTACATGTCTATATGCACTGAGGTCGACTTTTGCATAAAGGGTTGGTGTCCATATAAAAGTGAAGCTCAAAAGCCAGATTTTCTTTTACGTTTCTTATCTGATAATTCAAAAGCATGTTGAATGGTAGCGTCTGGTTTCATGCTACTATTCTAAATTCAATATTCCTTTTTTAAATTGTTTCTTAAAAACATATTGGGGATATAAGTGTGAGATAGGATGTTCGTCTAATTTTTTTTCTTCGTATAAAGGAGTGTACCTCCTTATCTACACCGCTATGATTAGAGAATGAACAGTTTCAATTGAAATCTTTAAACGATAATTTAGTGAAGATTCATTAATCAAAACGACGTGCATAAAGAGGTGCACCCTAAGTATTATCCCTCAAGAAAAACAATGTCATTTCAGATTTCTAATAATAACACAATATCGCACAATAAACTTTAGACTATAAATTGATGATGCTATATATAATTCTATTTCATACCGTAATGCTTTTCCCTTTCCATTAGATACCATAATAGTCCTTTTTGAAATGCTAGAAAATGTGTTCAAATTCGTTTCCTGAGTTTTTGGAGTAACTTGTGAACCCGGAAACTTTTAAAGGAAGCCCACCAAACTCAAATGGATAATATATTCAACGCAATTTCAACATCAAAACCTCTAAATCTGTAAACCTTGTCGGCCTCCACACAACCCAAGATCAAAGAACCAGCAATATTTGGCTCTCCTTTGAAGAAAATTTTATAATGCTAGTTGTGGATTTTAGGTAACTATAACATTTTTCATTTGTGGGTTTTGGTAATCCCATCGAACCTTTCTAAATTTTGAGACCGGATTTTGGTACCATGCATGTTTTGCTACCTTCTTGTGGAGACATTATGATTAGCTTGGAAGAGTTATGTAAATTTGGCAATGGGTTTAATTTTTTGAAAATGAATTCGGTAAATTAAATTAACTAAATCCAATTCTCTATCCCAACTTAGGTGACAAGTACACACCCGACATTGTTAGCATAAAAAGATAACACTTCGTAATGTGAAAATGCCACTTGGGAGAAAAGGTTAAAGAAATTTAGTTTGTAACTGCAACATCGTCACGTGATGTTATTAATCCACTTGTTATATCATGGGTGAACGATTAGCATATGCCGAATTAATACGCATCTATATATTTTAATATGAATAAATTGATAGCAGCACGTCACAACTTTATAGTCACACCAAAAAAATTTGTCAAAAAGTTCGGATTATCTAGCATTGTACACTAATTCTAATGCATTATTTAACCCAACATTTAGTAAGTTGTCACTTAGTAACCCTGTTAAGATTCAAAATAATATAATAGTTTATTGATTGTGCCCTGCTTCTAATGAAAGTTTCTCCAAATAAATAAGTACTTGGATTGGATGCAAACTTTGAATATCGAACATGATGCCTAATATTAAAAAAAACCGCTTGAGAAATGAATGTGAATCTGTGATGCTTAAATTTATTAATGGTTAACAGCTTTTTTATCATAAAAGTGGATTACAAACAAAGGCAAAATTAGTAAAGCTATGCAGAACATATATCAAAGCTGTTTCCTTTTTTTTTGGTTATGAGTTTTTAAATCATCTATTTTTTCTATAAGAGCTTTTAGATCATTTATTAACGATGTGTTTTTGCCAAAAGTATTTGGGAAGAGTATACTACTCTCTTAGATGGAAGCTTAGCCCATTTTTGTAAAAAAAAATTATAAAAAAATTTATACCAAGGAATAGTATTTTATTGATAGATAAATGCTTACACACCATCGACATTTAGAGGATTATGCGAACACTCCCTAAGTGCATGCACCAAAATTATTAGCCCACATACAATTAACCATAAGATAGCTTAAACAACTCCAACATAACTAAAACCCTAAAGCATCACATGAGCCTAAATGAACCCTAGCACCACCATCTGAAGAGGCACTGTCACTGCCACATCCACCACCGCATCTCTAACAGATCTGGGGAAAATATGATTTCGAGCGATCTATCCGCGCATATGAGTGAACAAATAAACGAAGACAATAACTCTGCCGAAAAAAAATTAGGTGATTCGCAACAACCTCTGTCAAAGACGATGTAGAACCAAGTTTAGAGAACATGAGTAGTGTTAGAGAGCAGATTTTGGGAGAATGATTTGATTGAGAAAAAAACCTAAAAAGAGTGATGGGGAACTTCAATCTGAGCATGGCTTAGAAGAAATCACAGCAATGGGCTTCTTATTCAAAATGCTCCAGTGGACTTATTTACTAATCCTAAAGGAAAGACGAAAATAGATGAGGGGGAGGAGGAGAAGTGACGCTTCTTCCTCTTCCCCCTTTATGAAGTTTTCCTTTTGGACTCATAGAGGGACAGAGGGGTTATTAGGAAATTTTTTTTGTCCCAATCTTTTTAAATAATCATGTGGTTCTTAATATTGACACATGTTGTTTTAAGGGTGGTTTAATTTATTCTCTTTCTATAAATAAATAAATAAAAGAATTAATTTTATGGGTAAAAGTGCAATGCAACACGAGTTTTTTTTTCTTTTTTGTTATTATTATTTTTGTTCTGGAGGGTCCGATTGATTGGAGTTGTTTCTAATCCTCTTGTAATGAGGAATAGATACACAGAACCTTAGGGTGGCAAGTGGATTGCATGGCCCGCCCCCTCCACCCAGTGAATGTGGTGCCCTGGCTGGGATTCTCCAGAAAACTTTGTGAAAGTAAATGAAGAGGGGTACCAAATAATATATAGGATTCTTACACACTTAAATAAACTATTATAATTAATTATTTATAAACAAGATAATCTTTACAACTTTGAGGTGCAATATAAACTTAAACATTTCTATGGTGATAAGGAATATGTCGTCCAAGAGGTGTTGGATTAAAGATAGCATAATGCATTGAAGGAAACCACACCACCTCCTCACCACTGCAAACATCAGAGGAATGTTGAGGATAGTGGAACACAGTCAAATCAATTTGACAAAAAGAACCCACTTGGTTAAATTATGGACCTCCTTCTAAAAAAGGCAACTACAAATGCACTACTCTATGCGCTGTGTGTACAAAACTTTTGGTGTGATTTTGAAATTTGAATTCAGGGTCACTTGTAATCGAGTGAAGATATATACTTTTTTAAATTTATGCAAGCGATATTGAAAAAGTGGGGAATTGAACCTGAGACCTCGAGTGTAAGGATAAATACTCTTAACCGCTTGAGTTAAAATTGAGAATACCAAAATTATTTCAGAAAAATTACATTAATTTAGAAAATTAATTAAATTAAATATATGAATTTAGAAAATTAATACCTACAAAATATTAAAAGCTTCGAATTATGGAAAGAAAAATATATGGCTCAATATTTGTAAGGAGTCATTTCTCCTTTGGGACAAATTATAGTGCATGCATATAAAATTTCCCTTTTGCGCTTTTAATGAATTTGTTGACACCTGATCTTCCTTGAGTCGATTGACCATTTACAGTACGCCACGTGAATGGCCTTGACAACAAAATCCCACTACTTGGTTGTACCTTACCCAATCATGCCTAGCAACGCTGACCTAATTCGCCATGTTATCAGCCATGGTCGATAATGGTCGTGCTTGATAATTCACCATGTCACCGTGTCATCGGCCATGGTCACTTCCCCTTTTCATAATGACAATATGGCCGGAGACCCTTCTTGGATTTAAGCCGACATGCTCTCTATTGGGTTTTTATAATACTCGTCACCTACATTCAGATAAGGGTAATAACTTTCAATCATTTTTAAACTTTGCTCATTTGTTCTCTCAAACTCTCTCTACTTCACTTTTACTTTGGCATCAGAAAGAGTTTCGTTAGTACTACACCAGTGCATCCAATGTGACCAATTCTATTTCCTGTGCCCCCATGTATGCAGAGGAAGATACGTGCTTCTTACCCGACCCGATAGAAGGCATTGATAAGGTCAAAGCCCTATATTAATCACACAAGAATCACACGTCAACAAAATTTGTTCTAAATATGCGTTAGATTGTAATTTGCAAATAAAATAAAATTAGAAGACATATTACTCATCAAGTTTTTGTTTTCACTTTTGTTACTCATTCCTCCTATCCTCCCCTCTCATCCTCTCTCTTAATCTCATCTTCATTCTCATTCTATACTCTAGTACAAAAAATAAAATCTAAACACTAAAATTAAAATAATTATCAAACATGCCCTAATAAAATACTTCTCTATTTCACATAAAATAAATAAATAATAAAAAATTGCAGGGGTTCACCGACTTACCAAACTCCACAGTGAATTTTTAAAAAGTAGGGAGAAGGTGGTAACACCCCAACAGTGTTACTAATTATTATCTTTGACGAATCTACCTGACAATACATAACTAAATTAGTTCGTTGGAGGTTATTTTAATAATATATATTTCAATATTTTGATGAATTTGAGTTTCTATATGATGGCAATTTCTTTCGTGACTCCATAAATTCCTAAAGCCTTCATTTTCAACCAAATGTATGGAGTCCACTCACAGAAATTTTATATTAAAGAAATCAATAATAAGAGAAACTTAATAATTAAATCTGCACTGTCAAACATTCAAATAAAAATTCACAAATCAGTGTAGCATCATTTTCACAATTTAGCACTGTCTAAACAAATAACTTTTTCCCTATTTGTAATTTCAATTTGTTATTCTACACTCGTTCGTTCTGCGAATATCTTTTAATTTATTATTCTACGCTCGTTCGCAAATATCTTTCTTATTAAATAAGAAAATATTAATTTTTGAATGTAAAATGAGAAACTGAGAATGTAAAAATATATAATTTCTATAACCATATATATCTTTTTATTTTTTTTATAATGGAATGTGAGAGATGACTCACTACTAGTGTGAAACATCATTGCCAAATTCTACTAAAAGTACTGCCAAAAACAAATGTTCACAAAAAGCAACCGCATCCTGGATTTTTTTTTTCTATATAAAGCATCCATAAAGCCCTCAAAACATTTCATCAAGACACATCCCAAACGTTTTATACCAACCCCCTCCCTCCTCTCTCTGCACCCAAAGACATCATGGCTGAAAATGGCCTCCAGTTACGCAGCCGGAACCCCTCCACCCACCCCAAACCCTCAAGGGGTGGCTGGAACGCTGCCATTTTCATCATCTGTAAGCTCTTTAATATATTTTTATTTTTATTTTTCTAAAAATTGAGACTCAATTAACTTGTATAATTGGTGTTCAAATTATTATTATTATTATATTTTTGAGTTCTGTAATTTTCTAATAGATTTATATATATGCAATGTGGGATGTGCAGTTGTGGAGGTAGCAGAGCGATTTGCATTTTATGGCTTGGCTGGAAATCTCATCATGTACCTCACAAATGAACTCCACCAACCTACAGCCATGGCTGCCAAGAACGTCAACTTGTGGATGGGTGTGTCGTCTCTTTTCCCTCTGGTTGGGGCCGTGCTAGCCGATTCCTACCTCGGTCGCTTCAAGACCATCATTTTCTCCTCCTCTATTTATTTCATGGTAAATTTCTTCCATTCAGTTTCATGCTATACATTGTTGGCTCACTTTCCGATAACTTAAGCTTACAAAGTCCCATGATTTTTTTATCACACAGGGAATGGTTCTGCTATGCTTATCTGTCTCCGTTGTCCCTCTGCATTATCGCGAAGCCATTTTCTTCGTCTCACTTTACATTTTAGCCGTCGGCGAAGGTGGGCACAAGCCTTGTGTCCAAACCTTTGCCGCCGATCAGTTTGACGAGGACTCGGAGGAGGAGAGAAAGGCCAAGAGCTCATTCTTCAACTGGTGGTATTTAGCTATAGTAATTGCTGGCACTGTTGCCTCACTTGTGGTCATCTACATTCAGGTGACAGACTTCTCAAGCCTATTAATTGTGTGATTTTTCTATTGTTTTTATTTAGATCCTCAACGCTATATATTCGTCAATTAAACATTATGGGGATATATAATATTTTAATGAATTAATTAAGTTTGGACACATGTTATCTTTTAATCGAAAAATCTTGTGAATTTTTATTTATTAATTTATTCATCACAAGCACGTATACTAATCAGTATATGAGAGATTAATCCAATCATATAAAAAATTAACTTAAATAAAATTTGTGAGATTATGGCCGGAGTATAAAGATCCCACTATAAAAAGTTCATATCATATACACTGCAGGACAACGTGAGCTGGGTTATAGGCTACGGTGTATTGGCCGGGGTCATAGCAGCCGGGATCATATTATTTTTGCTAGGAATCAAAAGTTACCGGAAACAAGGTCCCCTCGGGAGCCCGTTCACCGCGGTGGCGCAAGTGTTTGCCGCAGCGGCACGGAAGTGGCGTGTGAAGGAGACGCATGATTGGGATGTGTATTATGGAGATGAGAGGAGTGAGACTCATATGGAGGCTCAGCCCAAGCAAAAGACTTTGGCTAGGACCAAACAATTCAGGTACTTATGACGTAATGAGTTTCAACGAGATTGGAATTTGAATCCAACAAAAACGGTTTTATTTATCGCATTAAAAAAAGAAGGTTCAGTCAGTTATTTTAGTGAGTCCATTTGGCGGGCATGTCCAAGGGTGACGTGGGCCGTTGCCAAGTTTCCTGGTTGGACTTCATGAGTAAAACGCAAGGTCGTTCGACCAAACAAATAAAAACGTAAGGTAATGTGGCTCATATTATCAAGTGTAGATTGTGGATGGTGACCTCAGCAGGGCCATGTTCGCATCCTGAAGCAACTACTTAAAAAAAGGTCATGGAAGAGTCCAGTAAAAATATTTCAACTACATCTTATGCGTCATGCTTTAGTGTGACAGTAACAGCTGATGTGTTCAAGGCACTCAATTTATAACTCGTGCTTAATCTTTTGCTATATGTGTTATGATTTAGGTGGATTGATAAGATTCTGATGTGTATATAATGTCAACGTCTCACGTGATGTTATTTACAATCACACTGAAACGTTTTCTAAAAAGAAATGCGACTTATTCACATCTATTCGTGATGTTCTCAATTTTGGTTGAGTGGCTAGAGAATTTGGAGAGAATATGTATATGCGTAGTTATATTATTCTTTGAATAAAGTATGGTTGATTTTTGATAACTATAGGTTTCTGGATAAGGCAATGATCATTGACAACCTTGATGCATCGAGCACAACGAGGAACCCTTGGAGACTATGCTCTATAAATCAAGTGGAAGAAGTGAAGTTGGTCCTCCGTCTTATTCCGATATGGTTGAGTTGCTTAATGTTCAATGTAGTTCAATCTCAACTCCACACCTACTACACCAAGCAAGGTTCCAAGATGGACAGATCCATGGGACCCCATTTCCAGCTTCCCCCAGCGTCGCTTAAAGTCTTCGTCGGCATCACGATCCTTATCACCGTCCCAATCTACGACCGGATTTTCGTCCCAATGGCCCGAAAGCTCTTCGGACACCCCGCAGGCATAACCGTGCTACAAAGAATTGGCGTTGGCCTATTTCTCTCCATCCTCAACGTGGTTGCGGCAGCTCTAGTGGAGGCCAAAAGGGTTAGTGTGGCTAAACAGCATGATCTCATGGACAACCCTAAAGCAATCATACCAATTAGGGTTTGGTGGCTCCTCCCACAATACCTAATTTGTGGTTTGTCAGATACATTCGCAGTTGTGGGGCTCCAAGAATTGTTCTATGATCAAATGCCAGAGGGGCTGAGAAGTTTGGGGGCGGCAGCATATATTAGTATTCTAGGAGTTGGAAGCTTCCTTAGCAGTGCCATTATATCTTTGGTGCAGGCGATTAGCTCCAAGTCGGGGGAGGAATGGTTGGGAGACAATCTTAACCGAGCACACCTTGATTACTTCTATTGGGTACTTGCAGGATTGAGTGCTTTGAATTTGTGTGTTTATGTGTGGACTGCGAAGGGTTTTGTGTACAAAAAAGTTGAAGCCCAAAAACCAACTGGGGCAAAAAAAGCAGGCACTAGGGCTGGAGAAGTATGAGGCCATAGATGAGATGATGGTTTTAGTGGGTTTGCAATAGTGAAGAAAAAAAAACAAAGTTGTGCTCTTGTATTGTAGCTACTGTTTCCTTGCTCAATATGCTTTGGTTTTGAGTGCACAGAAAACTAAATAGTATCTTTGTCTAGCTCACATTATGAAACAAATTTCATTGCTATCTGTGGATGATTTTTAAGCATAAACTTGAATTAGGTCTTGCTAACAACAAAAAGACATAAAGTATGGCTTAATTTTGCATTGCGATACAAAACGCAAACATTTTCATTAAATTGGAGAAATGGTTACCGCAACATACATTCAACATGGCAGCGGAATATCAAATTTTAATTTATGAAGCTGAAGTATCTCGTAGTGGTTATGCCATAGAAAACTCAAAATAGGCCAATTTAGTTAATGTACTGTTGATTTTTTTGTTTATATATTTGATTTCGTTAGCCAATGTGGTTCATTATCTAATTGTAGTATCTAATTATTTAGATATTATAAAAAAAATCAGTTCGAAAAATAAAATTAAATAATATTAACAATAAGATTTATCTTAATGGTAAATCTCGACAAAATGGTCAAATTGATAACAAAGGAACTACGATGTCAAATTGAGTAATTAGTAAAAGGCTAGTACATCCTAGCAGACAAAAATAAGCCGAGGATTCAGATCCGATGTGTTTTTCCTAAGTCCTTAGAAGTCATTTTACAAAGGAGTAAATTTATCTTAATTTTTTTGAAGATAAGATATATGAAAAAATAGAACAAGGATGTAAAATAGAACTCTTATTTACACGTAGCCTATTTGCTAAGGACATATAGGCCCACCAGGAGCCCAAAAATTCTTGACTCTTGGGTAGGACCTGAGCTTAGCTTACTTAAGATATGACCGGCTCCAACCCGTTCAACCCTTATAGCCAAAAAAGCTCGTAACTTAATAGTGCTTACGCTAGTGCCTTAAGAGGCGATTGAAGCCAAATAGTCCACAGATACCACAAACACATATAAGAACACACTCATGACAACCTCCATGCCCAAGAGAACATAGCTTCTTCAATCACACGTTCAAATAATTTCACTCCTGGATCAAACCATCTTAATAGCCAGTCCCCAATAATATGTTTATTTAACAGTAATTTTTTTTATGAGAACTTTTTTTATTGAAAGGAACGATAACATACTAAATTCGCACACAGTACATGGAGGACTTGAACTTAGGATCTTTCATGAGGGAGGAATTGCTCCAAACCACTACACTAGTGGGTCCTTTGCTTATTTAATTGTAGTTTATGATTTAATTGTTGCTGCAAAACTTGGAAAATAAGTTGTTTTTGTGAAACCCTGTTTATTCTTATGTTATCTATAGTTTTTTGGACTCATATGATTTAATTGAATTAATGACTTTACTTGGATAATCAAATATAGTCACCAAATAATGTGAATGAAAGTGTTTCGTTTACTCAAAACCCTATTATATAATTGAAAAGTGTTTGTAGCACGTTTACTTATTAGAAATAAGTACTTAAATTATTGGCTCATTTGAGAATGCTTTTGGAGCTGCGAAAATAACTTATTGGCTCATTTAAGAGTGCTTTTAAAGCTGCAAAAAACACTTCTAAATAGGTAAGAAAAGCTTCTAATAATATTAATAGAAGAGGTTCCAAGTAATTAGAATTCTAAATAGGAAAAAAAAATCAACTTGCCAACAAATAAAATACATTGTATACATTTTCTAGCATTATTTTATGATTTAGTGAGCGCGTCACCAACAAGTGATGAGATAGGAAAAATTCCTCTGCCTAATCCTTAATGCTAATTTCTGAGAATAGCCTGCATCTTTGCTAAAAGGCGAAAAGAAAAAAAAAGAAAACACTTGCACGATTTTGAGAGATCAACTACTACGTGCCCTTGTTTTTTGTTTTCTTCTACCTTTCCAATAGCAGCAAAACCTCAAAATGTTCACGTCTCTTTTGTGTCCGCACACTGTCCAAGTAAAAAGCCAGCTTTTCTTATTCCCCTCCTCTCTCCTCTCTTTAATTTTTGTTTAAGACCTTCCTTTATGAGATGAGCGATAATATACTAAATTCACATAAATTACACTAATTATATCATTTGAACCTAAAATCTTATCTGAAAGAGTAAGTACGCCAATCACTACACTAATGGGTCCTTTACTTCTCCTCCTCTCTTTTTATTTTGTCTTTTCAAATCTGTTCTTTTTTCGGTCAACATCAATTAAATCTGATTGAGCAACTACTTTACATAAAATGACATGCTGTAATAAATACCCACAGAGTTTGCTAAGTACCACTTGTATGTATGTGAGTGCACTCAGAAAATACTCAAATTTGAACCTCAAACTTTAACGGATAAGATACCAAGTCCATTCACCAATTTGTTATGGCTACCTCTGGCGCTGCACCACCATTAAGGGTTCAAAATTACCATGAAGACGGAGAGCAGAATCTCATCAGCCAAGAAGAACCTTCCAGTTCCAGAGGTGGTTGGGGTGCTGCTATTTTCATCATCTGTAAGCCAACTTCTTCCTCTTCCACTTCTGCTTCTTCTTAGAGTTTTTAAAATTAATCTCCAAAATCTTTTTGTATTTGATTGTTTCAGTTGTTGAGGTGGCAGAGAGATTTGCTTACTTTGGTATGGCTGGTAACCTCATCACATACCTCACAAATGAACTCCATGAGCCAATCCCCATGGCTGCAAAAAATGTAAATACTTGGGTTGGAGTCTCATCTCTCCTCCCATTACTTGGAGCCTTCATAGCTGATGCCTTTCTTGGCAGATTCAACACCATCTTTGTCTCCTCCATCATTTATTTACTGGTAAAGTTCAGCCAAAACTGATTTCATTTGTTACCCTTTGAAATAAAAACCATGATTGTTAGTTTTTCATGTCTTTCTGCAGGCAATGGCACTGCTAACCATAACAGTTTCAGTAATTCCTCTGCATTATCAGAAGGCAATGTTCTTTGTAGCACTTTACATGTTGTCAGTTGGACTAGCTGGGCACAAACCCTGTGTGCAAACCTTTGCAGCAGACCAGTTCCGTGAAGACTCACCGGAGGAGAAAAAGGCTAAGAGCTCATTCTTCAACTGGTGGTACTTGGGGATCACAGTTGGTGCCTCTGCTGCCATTTTAGTAGTCATATATGTGCAGGTCAACAGCCTCTTCCTCTTATCATATTTACATACACAAATAGTTTGTTTTGGGGGTTATTTTAGACGCGAAATTCATTTACCTTTTTGCATCCAATCCAAAAATTCTGTCCCTTTTGTGACAGTTTTTCATTTATTTACAACCAGTAAGAAAATGACATGTAAGTTGCTTGGTGATTAAAATTTGGGAAATTTTTTGGTGACACTCCTTATGTTCAAAATATTCCAAAATATATGTCAGAATTTTAAAACTTTGTCCTTGAATTGTGCCTGTAGTCATTTATGTATGAATGCTAAGATCAACACCATAATACTGCGGGCCTTTTAGCCCCACAATCATTTACTGATTATTGGAATGCTAAATCTCCCAAAATTTAATGATCATTGGAATTCTGAATCTCCCAAAATTTGTCACTCCTTGGTGCAGGATAATGTTGGGTGGGCGGCAGGGTTTGGCATATTGACAGGGGCAATGGCGGTAGCTTTGGCTGTGTTTCTGTTTGGTTACAAGAAATACAGAAAGCAGGGACCCTTAGGCAGCCCCTTCACCACGGTGGCTCAGGTGTTTGTGGCGGCGGTGAGGAAGCGGCACATCAATGGAACATCCACTGGTTTTGGTGTGTATTCTAGAGATGACAAGGATCAGCATGAGACTAGGAGGTTTTTGGCACAGACCAGTCAGTTGAGGTATGCTAACAGGCCACCATAAAGCAAAGCCTCATCTTATCTTTAGGTACAATTTTACATAGACAAAGCTTCATAGTCATGACATCCTTTGAGGTTAGAATAGTTGTATCTATAAATTATATAAATCAAAATGGAACTTTATGTCTCCATAACTTTAATGCTTCTAGCACTAATGCACATAAGACCAACATGATTTGCCTTGCTAGTTTGTGTGTGTGTGTGTTTTTTTCAGTTTTAGAAGTTCAATTATGATTTGTTTTTTGTTTCCTTTTTATCCCCAATGATTTGTCTTACTAGTTGAAAACTTTAGATGCTTGGACAAGGCAATTATCATCGACCATCTTGATGCTTCAAGCAAGAACAGAAATCCGTGGAGATTATGCTCACTAAATCAAGTAGAAGAAGTAAAGCTCGTCCTACGGCTCATTCCCGTATGGATGTGTTGCTTATTGTTTGCAGTAGTCCAATCCTTTGTTCAGACGTTCTTCACCAAGCAAGGAAGCACGATGATCCGGTCAATTGGTCCAAACTTTAAGCTTCCCCAAGCATCACTCCAAATATTCATTGGCCTCACAGTTGCAGTTGCAATTCCAATCTATGACCGTGTTTTCGTCCCAACAGCCCGAAAATTCACGGGACACTCCTCTGGCATCACCATCCTACAAAGAATTGGCATTGGCCTATTTCTATCCATAATCAGTATGATGGTGGCAGCTTTGGTAGAAGCCAAAAGGGTTGGCATTGTTATAGACCACAACCTCTTGGACAACCCGAAAGCAATAGTGCCAATGAGAGTGTGGTGGTTAATTCCACAGTACATGGTATGTGGTTTGTCTGATGTATTCACATTTGTTGGGCTCCAAGAATTCTTCTATGATCAGACACCGGAGGCAATGAGAAGCATGGGAGCAGCAGCATACCTCAGTGTGGTAGGTGTTGGAAACTTCATATGCAGTGCTATAATAACTTTGGTACAAGCAATTAGCTCAAAGTCTGGTGAAAAGTGGCTTACTGACAATCTCAATCGTGCCCACCTAGATTACTTCTATTGGCTAATTGCAGCATTGAGCACTTTAAATTTGTGTGTTTATGTGTGGATTGCTAAAGGTTTCGTATACAAAAAACTTGAAGCTGAAGAAACCGGTAAGGAGAAAGAGCTGGCATAATGTGGATGATCAAGAAGTGAAGCTATTGGCCTATATTGCAGTTGAGTACCTTATAAATAAGGTATTTTCAACCAGAAAGTGGTATAGGATGACAACTTATAAGTTATGAGCATTTGTACTCGGGACCTCGAGCGCAACGGTAAACACTCTTCAACCAGTAGAGCTATGCAAACACCCCTTGCTTGCTTTCTTCAAATCCCATTTAAATAAAATTCAATGGTCACTTTTTGTTGGAAACATCATATGCAGGGCTGTAATGCACAAAGTCTCTCAAACATTCTCTCTTCTTCAAAAAATTGAAGACCCACACATTTTTACAGAATCATAACAATTTTATTATAAAAGGAAAATTGAATTCCCACATTTTCTAGCAGCATGGCTTGTGCAGATAATTATTTAGTTAACTATTTTAGTTTAGGGACAGTTGTAGAATTGAGTTCCCCCACTGCAGAAAACTTCACCACTTTCATAGAAAAGGAAAATTGTAAACATACAGAAAGCATAACTTCTAGTCACTGCTGCTGAAAAAAAGAAAAAAAAATTGGGTGATCACATAACCAGATTTTTTGAGTAACACTACAGTTCCAAGGTTTGAGCACATTTATTTCAGAACTTAACTAGTTAGACAAAGGTACAGATACAATAAGAAAATTTGTCTGCTTTGCAGCAGATGGTTTTCCATTAAGGAAATTGTGGTTAATTTCCCACACTGCTTACAAGAATTGGACTTCTAACACTATGAGTTCCATCGTACCAAACCAGCTCCGCAGACACATGTGATCCATCTGGAAAACCTTCTCCAACAATGGTCAAATTGAAAGTCTTCTCCTCATTCAAGGTCCTGAAGGAAAGAACTTCAGGATCCACCTTGATGTCAACATTAGGATTTGGCATGATTTTGGCCTCGTAAGTGGAGTTGGCAAGGCCAACATTTTTCACTGTTCTGTGAAATGTAACCGTAAACGGTTTCATTGGTGTAACATTTGCTGCCAGTGAAGCGTAATTGTGATCCTTCGGTGATCCTTTCTCAGAACCTTTGGGGCAAGTGCTGTTATCTCCTGATATATGCCTAACTTTGGCCTCATCTAACACTATGCAAAGCAACCTTATGTAATCTTCTTTCGAAGCATCATACACAAGCCCAGGGTCTATAGCTTTCACAGGATCAATATGTCCAGATCCATAAGAAAATTCACCAGGAGAAGTGCTGGTACCATTCATGGGCTTAGCAGTTGTCATTAGAGATGATTTGATGGCTGCTGGAGACCAATCAGGGTGGAATGTTTTAATATATGCAGCTACACCAGCAGCATGTGGGCAAGACATGGATGTTCCAGACAGTATACTGTATTTTAGACTCCTCTTGTCCTCAGGGCTACTTGTGACAGAAGCAACAGGGGAATATGCAGCCAAAATATCTACCCCTGGGGCACTTATGTCTGGCTTAATAATCTCCGGTAAAATTTGATTAGGTCCACGTGAAGAGAAGGAAGCGGCAATAGGTGCATCATCATCTTTTATGGCTTCACTTTTTAATATGTTGGCTCGAGGCTCTTTTGTGGAGTTCAGGAAGGACTTCACGACAGTATAATCTTGGTTGCTTAAACCCGTTGCAGGTAGCGGACAACAAAAGAAACATCAGGTGTGGAAGAGTGTAAAATTGAACCTAGCGCACCGGCTTTATGAGCCTCAACATTTCCACCAAACTTATCACATACCACAATCTTTCCTTTAACTAAATCTCTGTCTAGGCAACCTGGTGAACAAATCCCAGCATAGATTTCGGAGCACTTACTTGAAGCATCTTTTCCATGTATCAGTGGAAAACTTGTTCCATTTAAACTGAAAGAGTTCACCGAACTCCCAACGAGTGTGCTTCCATTTCCAAGAACAACCTTGTCAATAATCCGACGATCTGTGCTACTTGCTGCAACTGTAAGAATCCACGGTGCCACACTTGATACAGAACCCTCTTCAGGACCATTGTTGCCTGCAGAGTTTGAGGTTAGTATCCCTTTCTCCATTGCATGAAAAGCACCAATTGCTATAGGATCAACATCCAAAGGAGATGCATGATTTGGTCCAATTGAAATTGTAATGATGTCAACCCCATCGGCAATAGCGTGGTCGAAAGCAGCCAAGATAGCCTCTCCAGTGCACCCTTCAAGAGTGCATATTTTATATACAGCAATTCTCGCAGAGGGAACTCCTCCTCTTGCAGTACCTGGTACTAGTCCATAAAAACTCACATCCTTTACGGCATTCCCAGCTGCCGTTGAGGCAGTGTGGCTTCCATGACCAATTTCATCCCTTGCAGATTCCTCCTCTGATGTGAAAAACCGAGCTCCAATCAACTTCTTGTTGCAAGTGAAATTTTTTCCACCATTACAAGCACCTTTCCATTTCATAGGAGCAGGCCCAAAACCTTCATCTTTAAAACTATCTGATTCAGGCCAAACTCCAGTGTCAATCACACCAATAATAACATCACTCTCAGCCGTGTCATTTCGAGTGATTGTCTCACCGAAACTCATGAAGTCCCAAGATCTTGTTGTTTGAAGTTGGTAAGTTCTGCTTGGGAAGACAGAGACTACTTCCTTCATGTTAGCAAGCTTTTCGCTCTCACGGTCAGTGAGCTTCGCCACAAATCCATTGAAACTCCTTCTGTAACTTCTTATCCAGGCATTTGCAGCAGAGCTGCCCTCGACAACTCTTTCGAGTATACCAAGGTGGTGAGACAATGGTGAGTACAACTCATCATGAGGAAGTGACCCCAAGTACACAATATATGGCTTTCTGTCTTCATGACCAATGGCTTTGCACAATAAGCTCATACTGAGTATGAGAATGAAGAAAGCATAAGTAAACAAGAATGCTCCATGCTTAGCCATTGTTCAATGCTCAAAACCTTAACTGGTGAACAATACTTTATAGTAGAATGCTCAAAAACCTTAGCCTTTAAGCATCCAGATTTTGCTTCTCTGCAATTACAGATAAGGAAATCTGTGATTCATTATTACAACAGATATGCATCCATATTTTACTTTCCTTCCATGGGATTCATTATTAAAAGGATCCAGAATTTCTTTCCATCTAGGATGACAAAAATATAAGTTCAGCGTCTGTTCACACATCTCCTGGGTCCATAAATTACGGACTGCATTTGTACCTTTTTTTTTCCCATTCAACTGCATATGTACTCAAAAGTGGCCCAAATTCATCCTTTTGCAACAAGTTTAGAATTGTTAGGGCAAGAATTAAGGCTTCAAGTCTCATTTAAACAAAATCCAAGCATCTGACTTCTGACAGAATTTATCCCCTCGTAACCAAACTAAATCAATTACATAACGCCTAGTGTCCTAAATATAATCCAAATATTAGCCTTTGTTGTAGTGGTAGTTGTCTCGACTTGATTCGAGAGTTCGCCCAATATGGATGCAATTACTATATGTAGTTGTGATAAAGTTGTGACTAGCCCAATGTTTGTAAAAATATACTTAGTATATAATAAAATGATTGACAATATTTCTGGAGTTGTCTTCTAAAAGATTTTACGTTTGGCTCCTTCTTTCCCTTAACACTTCAAACTCTCCTTCTCCTTCACTCATATGTGCAAGCAAAGTCCTCTTTACACACACACACACACACACACACAAAGTGCTCTATCGATTGAATACGTCAAAAATACAAATTGATGGTGTATGGGGTGATATCAAATTTCTTGTTATTCCAACCAATATGCTTTTTTTGTGATACGCAATGTCATGTTAATCCTGTTCAAATAAGTATTCTCTGAGCTCTCCCCCACGGTTTGGTTTGGTGACCCTTTTTTCCCATTGAAAGAATTTCAGGCAACCTCAGGACCGTATGGCCTACTTCGATCATGTAGTTTTTCCAAATTAGTGCACTATAAAGTTTTTGGTATCGAATTGATGAATTTGAAATTAAAGAAAGAAAATTCTCCTATGACTGCATTTTGGATATCTAGTCAGAAAACTGAATTAACCACCCACTGAAGAAAGAGAAAGAGAAAATTGTAAGCATATAAAAGAGATGATATTTGATCATTATTGCTAAAATGTACTTTTTCTTCTTGACATTGCTCCGAAGGTTAATTTGACAACAATAATAAAATTGTGATTAAGGTGTAGTGTACATAACACGTAGTGACTAGTCCCTTCCTCCAAGGTTAGGGTTTTAGAGCTGCCAGTCTCAAGCACAGGTTGGTTTCTAGGTGATTGCTTGTGTTTTACGGCTGCTTTCAAGGGTGTCTTTCTCATCACATGTACGGTGTGAAATACGGCGGCACTATTGTTCAAGCGGGTGTAGGGTGTTGTCTTAGGTTTACAAAGGGAAGCATCGAGTGGATGATGGCGGTTGTTAATGATTTGGTGTCTGGTCTCACCTCTTCCTTGGCAATTTCAGAATCTGAATCAGTGGAGGTTGTCGGGTTAGAGGATCTAGGAAACTTGAAGGCTGAACGGTTTTTGCACCTTGGGAAGTTGCTCACTTCAAAGGTGTTTCATAAGGAGGCTTTATTTGGCACGTTGAAGAGGATATGGCATACAAGGGAGGAGTTCACTGCGGTGTCTCTGGACGACCCCAAGAGGTTCCTGTTCTCTTTCAAATCAGATTTCGATAGGAAGAAGGTGATGAAGGGCTCCCCTTGGACTTTTGATAGAGCGTTGTTGCTACTAACAAGCACTGATGGTGAAGTGGACCTTATGTCCATTTCAGTGGATTCGCAAAGTTTGTGGGTGTGAGTGCGGCTTATTCCACTGATATTCTTGACCCCGGCCATGGGAGAGAAACTAGAGAATTTTTTGGGTACATTCTACATGGTGGATCGTGGCTTAAATGGAGACTATTTGGGGAGCTTTTTGCGTATTAGGGTGGGATTGAGAATCAATGAGCCGCTAAAAAAGTGTGTCACACTGCGTTTGTCTGCAGATGAACCGGCTAAACAATATGAAATAGAATATGAGCGGCTCCCATATTTCTGCTTATATTGTGGGCGTCTGGACCATGTAGGTTCTACATGCAATGTCAAGGCCTCAGGGGCTATTGAAGTTGAACAATATGGAAGGTGGAAAACGATAATGAAGGATGTGTATAATATCCAGGCAGAGAATAATTTAAAAGGCAAGTGGCTAGGTTTGTTTGACGACGATACTAAAAAAAATGATAAGGTTTCGACGCCGTCCAAGCGTACAGGGGTGGTTAGATCCCTCGATGAGGCTTTTGGCTGGCAAGGAGTGACGGAGATGGATAGTGGGATGGATTGCCCCTTGGCGCAAGTCTTTAAAAGGCGCCGAGTGCACAGGGAGAATGAGATTATGACCTCCTCACAAGGGGCCGATGATGATGTGGTTGGCCACAGAGAAGGTAGGGTGTAACTGAACCAAGGGGCCCCTGAGTCTGCACTGTCGGATATAGGCCACCTGAGATTGGATGGGGATATCTCACAGATTCTTCTTATTGCTCAAAAGCATTCTGATAAAGGTAAAACTGTTTTGAGGGAAGATACCACTACAACTTATGCTACCTTGAGGCCACCAACTTCATTATGCAAAGGTAGTATACAACGTGGCTTTCAGATGGGCAATGCCAGGCCCCGGAGGAGTCCTGTGACGACCAAGGATCAAACGCAATTAGAAGCCGCTTGCAAAGAGGGGAGGCATGGTGCGGATCATACAATTGGTGCTAAGCGCACACCCGTGATAGGTCCCTGGGGTCGGGCCCATCACAAGAAATGAAAATATTATGCTGGAATGTTCAGTGGCTGGGCAACCCACGAACATTCCGAGCCCTGAGATTCCTTCTCAGAGATAAAAAGCCTCGTATCATCTTTTTGTCGGAGACCAAAAAGACGGTGCTCCAGATGGAGTGTGTGCAACGACAGTTGGGTATGATGGGGTGGGGGTGCTTCAGTGTTGGTAGAGAAGGATTGGAAGGGGGGTTAGCTTTATTATGGCAACATGGTGTGGAAGTAACTATTCTATCTTCTTCTCTATGGCATATTAATACTATTTTAAAGGGAGTGGATATGGAGACTTTCCGTTTTACTAGGTTTTATAGTAATCCTGAAATGGGGTTACGTTGGCACTCTTGGGATTTGTTACGACAAATTGCAGGGACTGTTCATGGGCCATGGATTGTAGGAGGGGATTTCAATGAAATACTTAAGGCTCATGAGTACTTTGGTCACAGATGAGGGCCTTTCGGGAAGCTTTAGAGGAGTGTGGATTGATAATTATTGGGTTTAAGGGGTATAAATTTACATGGTCTAACAGATGGCAAGGTGATGGGAATGTAAAGCTAAGGCTGGATAGAATGGTGGCTAATGGTGACTTTTTTAGGACTTTTCCTGAGGTAACAACGCATCATCTGAATTCTATTGTGCCTGACCATCTTCCTTTGTTGTCGTATTTGAGACCAAGTACTTGGGAGAGGAAGCATAAGCGGTTTTTGTTCGAGGAAATGTGGACTACTGTTGAGGGTTGCCAAAACGTCATTACGCATGCTTGGGAGTTTGAGACTGGAACTGTAGTAGAGAAATTGAAGGCATGTCAAGGGTCTCTGCGGACGTGGAATAATGCCCATGTAGGCCGAATACCCACAAAGCTCCGAAGTCTGCGGCAGAAATTAGATGACATCCAAAGGAGAAGTTTCTCCCCAGTAGTTGAGTTTCAACAGAGAGATATATGTAGGGAAATAGATGTGTTACTGGAAAGAGAAGAAATGTTGTGGAGGCAGAGATCGCGGGTCTCATGGATGAAATATGGGGACAAAAACACAAGATTTTTCCATGAACATGCAAAAATGTGGGGACGGCAGAATCTGATTAAGGCTATTGTAGATGATCGGGGGATTTGGTGTACATCTACTGAAAGTATTGGTAGTGTTTTCTGTGAGCATTTTCAAGGCTTGTTTGCTTCCAATGGACTACATGAGGTAGGAGTAGTCACTGAGGTGATTAAGCCGATACTCACTCCATCTCAAAATTTGCGCCTCAATCAAGTTTTCTTAAGGGAGGAGATTGAAACTTCCTTGGGACAAATATTTCCTACTAAGTCTCCAGGAGTGGATGGTATGTCGGCACTGTTTTATCAGAAGTATTGTGGGGTGGTAGGCGTTGATGTGGTAGGGTTCTACCTTAATGTCTTGAATGGGGTGCCAGTGTAAAAGAAATTAACCACATACTTTTGACGCTCATTTCTAAGGTTGACAAACCAGTAAAAGTTACTGAGTTTCGGCCGATTAGTTTGTGTACGGTGATCTATAAGATGATCTCCAAGACTATAGTTAACAGGTTGAAGCCTATTATGCCTCTTATCATCTCTGAGTTTCAGAGCACATTTGTCCCTACACGGTTGATTACGGATAACATTATTGTTGTGTTTGAAAGCATACATGCTATTAAACGGCGTGGTGGGAGTAAGCTGAAGAAAATGGTATTAAAGCTTGATATGTCTAAAGCTTATGACATAGTGGAATTGACCTTTATTGAGGCTATGCTTAAGTGCTTGGGCTTTAACGACAGATGTGTAGAGCTAATCATGGATTGTATATCCACTGTTACATACTCTGTCCAAGTTCGGGGGCTGGCTTAGGGAATGATTGTGCCATCAAGGGGGCTGCGTTAGGGAGATCCTCTCTCTCCATATCTGTTTTTAATTTGTGCGGAGGGACTGTCTGCTTTGCTTTCTAACGCACTCAGAATCAAGCGTATAAGCGGCATTTTCGTGGCTCATTGAGCACCTACTATTTCTCATTTATTTTTTGTTGATGATAGTCTATTTTTTTCTAATGCCCATCTAGCTGATTGTGCTTATTTGCTTCAGATTCTCAGCATGTATGAAAGAGCATCTGGTTAGAAAATTAATTTTGATGAGTCTGCAGTATGTTTTAGCCCCAACACTGATCCGGTGATGAAGCAACTAATTTATGAAATGCTTGGAGTGCCAATTGTTACATGTCATGAACGCTACCTTGGGATGCCTACCTTAGCTCAACGCAGCAAAACCCAGATGTTTAATCATGTGCGAGAAAAAGTGTGGCGAAAGCTCAATACTTGGGATACGAAGTTGCTGTCAGCAGCAGGCAAAGAAGTCTTAATTAAGGCGGTTGGTCAGGCACTACCTACTTATACAATAGGAGTATTTAAATTGCCAAAATCTTTGTAACATGAATTATCTGCTATGATTGCTCAGTACTGGTGGGGGAAGAGTGGCAGGAAAGGAATTCATTGGTTGGGTTGGAGGAAATTGTGTAAACCAAATTGTTTGGGAGGCCTTGGCTTCAGAAACTTTGAAGCTTTTAATAAAGCCATGGTAGCAAAACAGGCTTGGCGTATTTTATAGAAACTCACCTATCTGGTGGCTAAGATACTTAAAGCCCGATATTTTTCGCATGATGATTTTATGCAGGCTAGTTTGGGGAGCTCGCTGTTAATGATATGGAAATCTATTCTGTGGGGATGTGAGGTTATTGAGGATGGCCTGATTTGGAGGGTGGGCAATGGAGCTTCTATCCATGTTTTCCAAGATAGGTGGATTCCAAAACCATTTACTTTTAAGCCGTTGATGACTAGAGGGCTGGATTGGAATACTACGGTTTCTGACCTTCTAACTGCTTATGGCTCATGGAATTTACCACTGTTAGAGCAACATTTTAGCTTGGAAGATCAAGATATCATTTTTGGCATCGCCTTGGGATCAGTTTCACAGTTGGGTGATAGCAAATTTTGGTTTTTCTCAAAGAACGGGAAATATTCCGTTAAGACTGGGTATCGTGTGGCGGTAAGGCAGTGCGATGAGGATTTTGGAGTGGGGGGATCGGATCAGAGTGCTCAAGAAGGTTTCTGGATGTGAATTTGGAAGCTTGCAGTCCCCAATAAAATTAAAATGCTAATATGTACTGACATTCTACCAACTGTAGTCAATTTATTTAAGAGAAGGGTGCTTACATCTCATGTGTGCTCAAGGTGTGGGAAATATCCTGAAGATGCCTACCACACTCAGTGGTCTTGTAAAATGAGTCAATTTTTTGGAAGTGTACCTATTTTATCCCGCGATTTAATCTGGCGGGTGGCACTTTTGCTGATGTTTTTGAGGCTGTGGCTTCAATGATGTCGAAAGCTGACTTAGAGCGCTTTGCTTGTTGTGTGTGGAGTGCATGGAAACTACGTAATGACTCTTTGCATGGGAAACAGATTATACAGTTGGATAATATGGTGGAAAACACGATGGAAATGCTGGCAGTGTTCAAATCTTGTGAGGAGCAGTCCAAGCTCCCCTTCATCTCTCAACAGGTCCATTGGTTGAAACCACAGGTCAATACTCTTATTCTTAATTGTGATGGGGCTGTGGGTTGTGAGCAAGGTAGTCGGGGTTAGGGGGGATGCTGTCGTGATCATGATGAAAACTTTATCTATGGTTTTGCTTCTTTTGGTCCGCCGGGTCTGGATGTTTTAGGCACTGAGTTGGTAGTTGTCTATGAAGGTTTATTGATGATGGGATACCTGGGTTTTACTCGGTTTACCATTGGTCTTGATTCTCAAGAAGCTGTTTCTATTCTCAAGGATGGGTTGGATTGGTGGAGTAATATTGGTAATGTGGTGGAGGATGTTCGTCGGTTAATGGTTGATCGAGAGGTGGCTGGAGTGTTCTACCAACACTGGAAAGGTAATAGGGTGGCACATAGCCTAGCCCAGCATGGATTGAGTGCGAGATCTCGACTTTAAAGACCATGCTCCTCTATGGCTAAGCATTCTTTTAGATAAGGATATAGCTATGGTGTACATCTTTGTTTGCATTTTTGAGGTGCGGTGGTACTCTTTTTCCTTGACCGGATTTTCCCCCATTAGAAGTTTTTAATGGCAAGGTTTTAATGAGGCCACACTAACGCCCTCCGTTCGTTTGTAAACTGTTATCGTTTGTTTGGTGCTAGTGATTCTATTTGATCAAAAAAGGTATAATGTACATGAGAATTGGACTTTCTAACAGTATGAGTTCCACTAAACCATGCAGAGCTAATGTAATCTTTAGAAGCATGCAAAATCGTGGCCCCGGCTAGTCTGACAAATGGTGGAGTTTTATACAAAAAGTCTCAATACTATTAATAGTTGAACCACTCATAAATTATATATTGTACATGGCTTATTAGGGTAATTAGATAGCCAGAGACGAACCATAGGCCTATCACTAATAACATAGATATTGTCCAAAACTTAACCACTTACAAGGCCTTGTAAGTGTGGGGCTTTACCACAAAAGGGCTCGGCGCTATTAGTAGTGGAACTACTCATTATATGTTGTAAGTTGTTTAGTCAAGTTTTCAACGTGGAACTTTATAACTTTGCATTTCCAAGAAACTGTCTTTTAGTTTGTGGGTTGAGCATTAGCTTTGCATCACATAGCTTCAATCAAAAGGATTTATATGTAGTACATATAACTCAAAAGAATGTGACCAATAGGGTAGTCCAGTGGAAAATGGTATTGAGTTTCAGACCATTGATCTCAGATTTGAACCCTTTTATCCTTGTATTTTAATTAGACTATCGCTTGTATTAAAAAAAAAACCTAAAAAAAATGTGGTTAATTAAATTGAAAAATTGAGGGTAATATTTTGTTAAGCAACTACTGGTTCACAATAGATAGAGTTAATTTTTTTTTTTTTTTTTTTTTTTTTTTATAATAGTCTAAACTACAGGGGAGGGGGTTTGAACTTGAGATAACTAGTCAGCAAATCAAGACCATTTTCCACTAGGCTAGACCTATTGGAGTATATGATTTCGACAATTGAGGCTACTGTCAAAACTTTAAACAATCTACTTGTTCTTGATTCGTTCACATAAATTACGTTTCAATTCAACTGCCAATCCTAGAAATATACATTTATTCTCTTAATTTCACTTCCAAAAACATTTTTCGAAAATAGTTTTAAAAAGCATATTACCAGACAGTTTATGAGTTTTTGCTTAAATTAGTACGTATGTGTGGAATACACAAAGCCTTGTCTGATTTCTTGAAACTTGTAGGATGTGGACAAATCAGCTTAATTTCTTTTCCTCTTATTCAAGAGGGATGATTGGATCTGTTGATTTCGTGCTACTATAATTAAATTGCAGAAGAACTTACATTTTCATGCTTTTAGTTGGTGTGAGTAGTGCGAACTTATAATGGTGTTGCAAATACATTCGCGCCAACACACACTGTGCCAAATTAATGAGTATTTGCGAGGGTTGCGTGCACCATCGCAATACAGTGTTACAACATACCAATTTTCTTCTTGTGTGCAGTAATCACATAAATTAATTAGAGTGCTGCTAAACGAACCTTAAAATTAACTGAGTACACTCTATGATCTAAATGCATCCTAATATTTAAATCAAAATGTAAAATTAACTAAATAAACCCTATTTAACTACCAAAAATACCCATAATACACTCGATTTAAGTGATAGCCATGATAAGACGGTGGTAGTAGAAGTGGTGAAATCATATATTGAGAATAAACATAATATATCTATCAAAATCTCTTTGGGGGGGGGGGTGGGGGGGGGGGGGGGAGGGGAAAGAAATTGTCGTGTGCCTAAAATTAGTTTATTATCAATTGAAATCCACCACTTTTTGTATTTCCTTGGCATGTGCCATTGGCATAGGACCCACTAAGTCAATGGCCTATTGCATGAATGGCCATGGGTTGTTCTACGGGTGGTATACTTCTGCAGGTAGACTAGGAACTGGCTTGTATAGTTGGCATCGATCACATCTTTTGACATTCGCTATGGAATCGTGGCTCATGGCAGGCTAGAAGTAGCCTATGCTTAGGGCTTTTTGGGTGAGTAACCTGCCCTAAAGTGATTTCCACATTTGCCATCATGAATCTTGAAGAGCACCTCAAAAGTTTGATGGTACTTTACACATATGAGATAAGGACAATTTGACCAGAATATTATTTACTAACAAGATTGTTGCCCTGCATGTAGTACCTTGCGACTTTTTGCTGGATCTTCCTAGCCTCAGACTTTTCTTTTGGCAAATTTTAATTCACCAAGTAGTCGATGATAAGGTCTTGCTAGCTAGGAGCCTCATCAATCTGCATTAAGTCTATCTGTTCTACCTCTTCAATGCTTGGCTGATCAAGGTGCTTTATCGGGATTGAGCTTCTGAACTAGGTGTCCAACGCTGATCATAGGCTTGCCAGCGTATCTGCATAAGTGTTCTTTGCCTGAGAAACTTGCTAGATAGTGAAGGTCGTAAATGCCTTCAAAAGTTCTTGAACTTTGTCGAGATATTGATCATTCTTAGGTGTTTTGCCATGTACTGTTATTAGGCTTAATTAGTGATAAGCTAGGAGTCTGAATAGATGGCTAACCTCTTGATCGACAATTCTTTTGCTAAGTGCAGTCAAGCGAGCAATGCCTTGTACTCTGCTTCGTTGTTTGAAGCTTTGAAGCCAAGTATGATGGCTTACTCTAACATAGTTCTGTCTGGGGGGATTATGACAATGCTTGCTCCAGCTCCTTTATGATTTGATGCTCCATCTACGCGCAGTTGGCACATGTCTTTAGGTTGGTCAAGTTCGGCGAAGGAGCTCTCGTTTGCTCTTGAACTTTCTTTATTTATATTTACCAGCTTCCATTTTTCGACTGAGGATAGAGTGAATTCTTCAACAAAATTTGCTAAAGCCTGGGCTTTTATAGCAGTCTTCGGCCAGTAGAGGAGGTCATACTAACTCAATTCAATAGCCCATTTCATGAGTTTCTGAGAAATATCGAGGCTATGAAGAATCAATCTCAAAGGAAATTATGTCATGACGATTATTTGGTGAGCTTAGTATGGTCTTAACTTTCTCATGAAAATTACAAGGGCAAAAATTGTCTCAACTTGGTTTGGGAGTTTGCCTCACATGAATGAGGTGATTAGGATATGTAGTTGTGATAAAGTTTAATATTGTAAATAGCACATTGTTTGTAAAAATAATATATAATAAAATGATTGACTATATTTTTGGAATGTTATATTTCTAGGGTTATTCTTTTTTTAGTCTCCGAACTTAGACCCGATTTGTATTTGAGTTCCTCAATTTCCAAAATCATTCTCATCGTCCTTCAACTTCAGTTTCGTTAGGTCCCTTGCATTTAACAGAAAAAGTTGACAAAATTGATGTCAGGATCATTTGTCCTAACGAAACTAAAGTTGAAGGACCACGAGAACGATTTTGAAAATTAAAGGACTCAAATGCAAATCGGATCAAAATTCAGGGACTAATAAAATGAATAATCCTATTTTCTAAGACTTATCAGATATCCGGTGTGTTCTAAAATATGATTGACTACGTCATTGGCTGTCTCTTTCCCTTAACACTCCAACTCTCTCTCCTTCACTCATATGTGCAAGCAAAGTCCTCTTTACAAACATACAAAAAGGTGCTCTATCGAATGAAGACGTCAAAAAAAGAAATTGATGGTGGCGATATCAAATTTCTTGTCATTCCAACTAATATGCCTTTTTTGTGTGATACGCAGTGTCATGATAATCCTGATCAGATAAGTATTCTCTGAAGTGTGAATTTTAATAATTTTTTGTTATTTGGAGTTTTGGAACTCTAGTCATAAAAGATATGATATTTGGTCACTATTGCTAAAATATACATTGCTCCTAGTTTGGATTTTGCCCTTTTTAGACATACGTATCAAGTTCCTCCACGTTATTATTCACAATTTCACATGCGTCAAATATTTAATAAGTCTTAGAAAATATAGCATACCATAATGCCATGCAAAGACAAAAAATTTCCTAAAATCATCAACAACATTTATTGATAATTTTTTTTTAATACAAGCGATAAACTTTTAAAATAGTCGGTGATGACATTGACAATTTGTGCATAGATCTCACGAGCTGAATTGTAATAATCATAGTCCTCTTAATAGTATATTTTGCCTCATAAAAATCATCAATATGACTCACATACACGTGGATTTCCTCCTTCCTCCACTCATGCAATCAAAGCTCTACGTACACTCTCCTGTCTTGGGTCACACAACAAGCAACTACCACCCCACCCCCCAACACACACACACACACACAAATCACACCCAAATTTGCAGAGAAACCTCAAAAAATAATTTTCCACTTCGCCATGTCCAATATTTCAGCTCTCTAACACCATCAATGATGAACAATATTGCTTCTCCTACACAGGGAAAACCCAGTAGGGGTGGCTGGAATGCTGCTATATTCATCATCTGTAAGCTCTTTAATTTCTTTTTTTTTCATCTTTTTTCTCATTTAACTCTCACAATTATCTGAATTTCTTTTCATTAATTTTATGAATTTTATTTGTTTGCTTGATTATTATTAACTGCAGTTGTTGAGGTGGCCCAGCAGTTTGCATTCTATGGGTTGGCAAGTAACCTCATCATGTACCTCACAAATGTTCTGGACCAGCCCTTGGCCACGGCGGCTAAGAATGTCAACACCTGGCTCGGTGTCTCACCCGTCTTCCCCGTGCTTCGAGCCTTCGTTGCAGATTCGTATTTGGGTCGCTTCACCACCATCCTCTTCTCCATCACCATCTATTTCATGGTAAACAAAAACAAATTCATTATTTTTTTTCACTACTTCATATATTTAAGTATATATGTGTAGGATGCTTTTGTGAGTACGTAAATCAGATTTACAGTTTGACAACATAAGCATGTTAATTATGTAATGAAACCGAGAAAACATTGCTCGTGTTGAGTACTTATATATATCTTTTGTGTTCATGGATTGTATATGATATATCATGTTATAGGGCATGGTCCTTTTAACTCTCTCAGTCTCAGTAATTCCTTCGCAAAGTTGCCGAGCGGTCTTCTTCGTGGCACTGTACATTTTATCGGTTGCCCAAGGCGGGCAAAAGCCTTGCGTGCAAACCTTTGCAGCAGACCAGTTCGATGAGAACACGCCGGCGGAAAGAAAGGCTAAGAGCTCATTTTCAACTGGTGGTACTTGGGTTTGGTGTTTGGTGCCACTTCTGCCACACTCGGAGTTGTATATCTCCATGTAAAATCTACGTTTGAGATCCCCCACAGTATTATTTATATTATAATAATACATAAAGAAAAAGTTGGATATGAATTATTTGTGTGGTCAATAAAGTTGGATAAACTGCATAATTGCACCCCAAAAATATTTTATTCGTTAAACTACCTCGTTGCCTTTCATTGAATTTCTTGTTTCCTCTCTCTCTTTTCAATTCAAACTAATATTATAAAAATAAAATAAAATAACCTGAATGGTCATGGCGTCAAGGTCAAGGTTTGTAAGTTTTGTTATTGTAACAAGCTTGGTTCATCTGTTCCCTCTTGCATTAATTTAACATTTTTTTTTCTAATTAGAAAAGAAAAGGGGTATTCTCACACACACACAGTGCCATAGAAGATCGAACTGCTGACCAATGACCACTAGCCTGCATACCAACAGCTCTACCATTGTACTAAGACCACATTGGCTCCAAATCATTCATCATATATATATATATATATATATTGTTAAAAAAAGAAAAAAAAAGAGTATTTAGAATACTGTTTTGCGGTTGATTAATTACATATGAACAGTGTAATTAAAATCAATATTTTTCTTGTAGGATAATGTTGGGTGGGGATTAGGGTTTGGCATATTGGCAGGGGTCTTGATGGTGTCGCTATTATTATTCTTGGTGGGAATTAAGAGGTACCGGAAGAAAAGGCCTCCTGGCAGCCCATTTACAACGCTGGCACAAGTGTTTGTGGCAGCAGCTCGGAAATGGCACGTGAATGAGACACTCAATTGCGAGAGTGTATATTATGAGGACGAGAAGGGTGGAGCCACGGTAGAAGGTCAACCTCAGGCTCTAGTTTTGTCTCGTACTGATCAACTGAGGTAACTTTTATAATTAAATGCTAGTAATTTTTGTAAATCAATGACTACGAGATTTGAACTTAGGATATCTTTCAATATTAGGAAAAGAAGTATCTTGAAATCTCGGGACATCTTTCAACGTTTGGAAAAGAAGTATCCCTTATCAATAACTATGTTTTTTATTTGTTTTTTCATAATGTTTTAACTTTACTATGACCAGGAGCTAGTTGATTAATATTGCACATAACACTTTGTGGGCCTACACCAATTTTATGTTAGTGACTAGTAAAGTAGGTGTTGCCAAAACAGCATACGTATAGGTGTGCCGACCTCTACTGCCCTAAAGTCAAACCCTCAAGAACAAAACTCATCACAAAACAGATATAGTTGTTTTTCCCATTTGTAGTTTAGGAACAAGACATGGCCCTTCCCTTGCCCTTTTCTTTATAGTAATTACAATTTGCAGGCTTATTAACTTATTGAAAAACAAAATGCAGATTTCTGGACAAGGCAATGATGATAGACGAAGTAGATGCATCAAACCAAACCAGAAATCCATGGAGGTTATGCTCTCTCAATCAAGTGGAAGAAGTGAAGCTTGTCCTCCGACTCATTCCCATATGGTTAAGTTGCCTAATGTTTGGTGTAATCCAAGCCCAACTTCACACCTTCTTCACCAAACAAAGTAGCACAACAATCCGATCAATCGGTCCCCATTTCCAAGTCCCTCCAGCATCACTTCAAGGACTTGTTGGCATTGCCATCTTAATCGCCGTTCCAGTCTACGACCGATTTTTCATCCCGTTAACCCGAAAATATACAGGGCACCCTTCAGGCATTACCGTGCTACAAAGAATCGGGATCGGCCTAGTCATGTCAATACTCAATATGGTTGTGTCAGCCCTAGTAGAGGCCAAAAGGCTCGACGTTGCAAAACATTATAATCTCATTGACAAGCCTAAAACAATAATACCAATGAAGGTATGGTGGTTACTTCCACAATACCTAATTTGCGGTGTCTCCGACGCGTTCACAACCGTGGGACTTCAAGAACTGTTTTATGATCAAATGCCAGAGCAGATGAGAAGCATCGGGGCAGCGGCTTTTATTAGTGTTATTGGCGTTGGTAGCTTCATAAGCTCTGGTATTATAAGTATTGTGCAGTCCATTACCTCCAGAAATGGTGACAAATGGCTTGGGGACAATATTAATCGGGCTCACCTTGATTACTTCTATGGGGTGCTAGCAGTTTTGACCACACTGAGCTTGTGTGTTTATGTGTTAATTGCAAGGGCTTTTGAGTACAGAAAGGTGGAGGAGAAGAGAAACTAAAGGCAGAGATAAGCATATTTGCAAAGAACCACGATGGAGAGACATGAGACATAAAAGGCAAGATTAGAGCAAGTACAAGTCTAAGACTCACAAACTTAAACTTAGGATAAAGTGCTCTACCATTAGCAGCTAGAAGTTAAGCCCGACAATTACAAGAAGTACTTATTTATTTGCGAGGAAACACATTCGGCGATTTAGGTATATAGGTCGTTGATTTTAAGTTCAAATTCCTAATGAAAAATGCCTTGAAATAATGCACATAGTTTAAGAGGTAAGAGCATTTACTTGTGCACTCGAGGTCTTAGGCTCAATCCCACCAATTATTCCAATGAACATGCTCGAAGCAGATTTTTTCTATTGAATTAAAAATCCGAAATTTGAATGGCAGGGATTGAAGGAAATGATCAAGTTGTATATAGGAAAACCTGAACAAAGGATATGATTTGATTTGATACTTGGGATCATGGTTTCAGGGATTTGATTGTTCTTTTTCCTTTTGGTTAAAAACGAGACCAAACGGGAGGGGGAAGATTCCAACATCATGCAAGAGAATCAAGGAGAATCACTAGAGATTTCATTCGCGCATGCACTGAAAAACAAGGACAATGTTGGGTTGGGGACGTTGGGGTGGGGTGTTTCATTCTTTACAATCACTAGCTATAAATTTTCTTCTTCTTTCTTTTTCTTTTAAATAAAAAAAAAAAAAAAAAAAAAAAAAAGCCATCATGGTCGACCTTGAATCTATAATTCATTCAATTTAGTACAAATAATTATATTATTGTAAAATTCATCTTCATTTTTTTTGGAAAATAAGCAATAGTATATTATTGATGAGCAAACAAAAGTACAAAGCAACTATGTGTTGAATATGAGTAAATCTTCTCCAGTGACCAAACATAACAACATGTTGAATTGATCTGGAGAGAATCACGCACAACCCAAATAATGACTAAATCCACGATCTAACAACTAGAAACACATGTACTCAGACATACAATACAAATCTGCCGATCAACGGTAGAAACGGCAAATCCATATCAAAAACCAAAAGCTAAAAAGAAATAAAATCTTAAATAGAAAACAAATCACAGCAAACTCCTAAAGAAAATTATTGGTCTAAAACAAAACTAAGAAATAGGACTACCGCTTCACATAAAATAAGACGACCGCTCCGCATTTTTTGGGCAACCCGAAGAAAATCATAACAGCATTGTAGAATTCATCTTAGAGCTTAAAGTGTGGAATTAATGTGAAACACGTGTCAATTTCATGACTTCGTGACTGATGTAGTCGATACAATGATACAAACATTTTGTTCTGGCAGGACTGCCCCTTCAAAAGTGACAAAGGACATACAACTTGCCCATAAAGTACACATGGAATTTGGTATTATTGGGGTCGAAGTTGGTCGTGCACGTGCATGGAAAGTTGGAAACGTCTCTTTTACTGTGTATTCTTTCATTCTTGTAGAAAATATATTTTATATGTCCTTATTTCACCAAGTTTATTTTTATTAAATGAAAATAAAAACAAATATATTGAGGACAAGCAACTAATATAAGTTATTTTAATAAGATACAAAATAAAAAATCTCCCACAACTTTTTTAAGTCCCATGATTTTTTCTTCTCTTGTGATAACTATCATGCTCACATGTATAGCATTGGTGAAATTTTGACATGTTTAGTTACCCACTAAATCGAGAAACTTAGTTGGAGAAATCAATGAATTGGAATTGGATAAATTATTATTTTTTTAATCTCAATCTTGATTTTGAGGGTATACTTATATAATTTTTATTCTTTTATGTGTTGGCAAATATGAGTGTTTACTTATAAGGAATGGGTATTGGAATGATTCCAATTTCTACTCTTCATGTGTTTATTACACATAAGGGATTATATAAAAAAATTATGTGCGCTCCACGCGTTAAAATCCGTAATGGAATATCCTTCAAATCAAGTGAAATCAACTAGAGGAAGTTATTGATCCGATTCCCGTGCCTTGATTACCCCATCTATATTCCCCGATTCATGACTTATGTTATCTCTAATAAGCAAACATGAGATGAGAATGTGTGCAATTGGAATTATTCTACTGTCCTAAGTACCATGCTAGCATTCGTGAAATTTTGTGACTAGACCAAATGGTTGTCTCTTGTGTCAATTTGTTTTGAATTGGATCACAAGATCGTATATATATTTTCATAAATAAAAAAATCCAAAAAGATGTCAAAATCTCGTTTAAAAAATTTGAATGGGGAAAATTCCTCCAAAACTAAACAGTAATACCATTAGATAATGGATTGGACCGAAATAGTCATTCTGAAAGGTCAAATGGAATATAATGAACAAGTCCACATTTTAAACAGAAAAAACAGCACCTTCTTTGCTTCTTCGCTAATTCAAAAATCAACCAAGAAGATCCTCGAGATTCTGGACGAAATCTGTCGGATCTTTCTTTCCGAACTGTCAGATTTTCAAGAGGATTTTCTGTATCTCTCTGACTCCGATGGCTTCCCATTTAAAACCCACCCACCCTTTCTTCCCTTTCATTATCCTCTGCTCTACTTCTTCTTCTTCTTCTTCTTCCTCCTCCTCCTCTGTTCCCGGTGTTATTGCTTTTGATATTACAAGAGTTCATCAATCATGGGTTTGTCTGCAGAGGCCCAATTTCATGTTCTGGCTGTTGATGATAGCGTTATTGATAGAAAGTTGATTGAGAGACTTCTCAAGACTTCTTCATACCAAGGTATTATATGTTCATGGAGTTTTTGGTTTCTTTTGGTTTTGTTCAATTCTGCTTTTGAATCATTGTTTTGGCTTTAATTGAGTGCTAAAATCTTTCTGGGTTGTTTTATTTTTGTCAATTTCTGCAGTTACTGCTGTTGATTCTGGAAGTAAGGCTTTGGAATTTTTGGGTTTGCATGATCAAGATGATCAAATTGATGCAGATATTCCCTCTCTGTCTCCAGATAATCATCACCAGGTTTATATTGCGTTTCCTGTTTGATTCAATTTTGTGATTTTTTATTTGAATTTCTATTTTGCAATTTCATCAGTCTGATCTGATTCATTTCCCCCTGCCTCTTTTTACAGGATGTAGAAGTAAATTTGATCATTACAGATTACTGTATGCCAGGAATGACAGGCTATGATCTCCTCAGAAAGATTAAGGTAAAAAAAAAGAGGACCCAAAACCATTATGCATCTTACTTTCAATTCAGCAAAGTTTTGTGGATCAGTATCAGATTTCACAATTGGAATTGTTTCCGGCCCAAAACCATTTCAATCAAGCTAACATTTGGGCCTAGACTTGTATAATTGGAGTTGTTATTGTCCATGAATGAATGATTAAACTTGGTGCATCATCTAGGATAGACTAATAAAAGTTTACTTTGATTTGCAGGAATCTCATGTTCTTAAAGACATACCAGTTGTTATTATGTCCTCAGAGAATGAGCCATCAAGGATCAACAGGTTAGGGGAAACTTCAGATCTCAAATTAGAAATGCTTGGTTCATTTTATGATCATGATCTGACATGTGGCTTGATGGGTTTTTGATCAGATGCTTGGAGGAAGGAGCAGAAGAGTTCTTTCTAAAACCAGTGCAATTGTCAGATGTGAACAAGCTTAGACCCCACATGTTGAAGGGTAGGGCTATGGAAGACCAATCCAACATCAACAAGAGAAAGGTCATGGAACAAACACAAACACCAGAGAGAACAAGAACAAAGTATAATGATTTGGAAGTGACTTCATGATCAATTGATGTTGTTACCTTTTTTTTTCAAGTATAACGTAGGACGCTCATCGACTTACAGAGATCGATTGTCAACCGTTGATATCATCGACCTACAGAGGATCGATTGTCAACTGTTGATATATGTGAATCTCACCGTAGATCAAACATACATCAGCTTCTAACAGTTGAAAAACCAAGCTTATCACTATAATATACCCAGAAGATTTCTCTATATTTGTTCTCTTTTTTCCTTCCTATATTTCAAGCTTGATTATACAGGCTCCATAGGGATTTAGATGTCCTCAAAGACAGAAAAAGAGCCATGTTCAGAAATCTTCAAATTTAGATCTAATTGTAAATTAACAGAGAGAAAAATATTCATTAAATTTGGTTGGTGTCTTGCCAGTCAATTATGTCTGAAATAAAAATATTCGCTGGTTATGACTTTTATAAATGGGCAGATTTTGTAAAAGGAAGCTAAATTTATTTTTTTCTTGTTGGAGAAGCTAAGAAGTATTTGAAATTGACTTTGGGAAGGTGTGAACAATTACATGATGACCGTTGATACGTTCATGGTATTAAATAAATTAGGTAACCTAGTCATAGAAGCTCATATTGAAAACAAAGATTTTTTTTTCTTTTGGCCAATGAAAACAAAGATTTAACTTCTTGTAGTTTAGATCATCGTTTGTATTTTTATTTTTTAAGTGTTGGAATGGAGAAAATTAATACTCGGCATAAGGAGTTTGTAGTTTAAGTGATTAAGAACATTTACACCTACACTCACGTGGTTCTATATCCAATTCCCCCATCATAAATATGGGTTATATTAAAAAATATAAATATTGCTACTAGGCAAAACTCAAAATTTTATAAACAACATTGGTTGTAAAACAAGAAAATTGTTAAATTCAGCATGGAAATAAATAATAATAATAATTGGGAGTTGAGGGTAATTTTCAAATTTCACCACACTGTGATTTTAGAAAAGAAGCAACGACTGTCGTCATCACCCTTGCCGCCACCATCCTTGTGTTAATTAAGAGGCTGTAAAATAATGTGTGTGTGGTGCTTCATAAAGTGCAAAGCACCAAATTTATGCAAATATATATATATATATATATATATATATATATATTCTAGAAAAGGAAAATACTATTACAATAATCAAGGAATAATTGAGTGAGGCTAATGGAGATCGGTAGAGGTAATCATGGTTTTGACAGAGAGTTAATTGAGTTTTGCCGTACGGTGTGGCTATCAAATTGAAACATGAGGGATGCATGAACTTGGCAACATAGAATGTGGGTGCGTAATGATCAACCAATGACACATGAAATTAGTGGCAGATCCAAAATTTAGAAGTCTAGTATGCGGAGTTTATCTTAAAAATTTGATGATACAAGTGAATTTCATTTATAAAAATAAAAAGATACATCTAGGCAGGGAACGTAATGATCATTACCTTCAAATATACATAAATGAAAGTTTAACTAAAAAAATCTTGACCATTATCAACTCTTTGGACCTCAACTTTTTCAACTTGAGGCTCAACAGTGGGAAAGTTGGGATCATTTTTTTATTTAAATAATTTTTTTCTTAAAAAAAAGAAGATAACAAATTCAAACCCAAAAAACAAAAAAAGATAACAAATTCTTTGTTTTCTTAGAGTTTCGATTGTGATCCGACATAATAAAAGATAACATATTTAATCAAACATCCCAACAAAAAATCAAACAAATTCTCATAATAGCATTAATGCATTTAATCAAACATTAACATACTAACAACAAATCAAACATCTCAACAAAATTCCTAAAATCAAAGACCTAATTAATTTCAATAAAATATCCAAATTATAATTCATTCCTAATTAAACCCTAGAATACTCATTTCAAATTTAAATTAAAATTAAGATGCACACATTTATTTTAGGAAAAATCCAACAGGAGAAGATAATTAAAGAGGAGAGCATGAGAAGAATACTTGTTGCCTAGATAGGGAGAAACACTTACATGAAATGGGGATACAACTATTTTGCTATCCTCGACCAATCACAGTATGACATGCGTGATAACTTTTTCACTTGACATTATGTGATTGGCTGGGGATAGCAAAGCAGTGTTATCCCCATTCCATATATAATTTTTTCTGCTACATAGGAGAATATGTTGCCAAGAGAGAGGTTATTGTCAGCCCAAAGATAGAAGTTACTGCTAAAGCTACCAAGAGGAGGTGAGGACTGTTGGCTATGCCTATGAGCAACCAAAAGGGCTGGCTGGTGGGTCGCTCTCTCGTTCACGGGAGGAGAGCCTTGATGGCTAGGATTAGGGTTTCTCCAGTTTTCTTTACTCATTTTCTACGTCGTCTCTCTCAGTCTTCTCTTATTGTCTCTTTGAGTTCTTCTCGGTGTATTGGGTACAACGTTTTTTTGTTCTTTTGTTCTCTGTGGGGTGGCTGCGTCACCTTCCTTTCTGGGTTACCAAAGAGCCAATCACTAGTGAGGGGTCTCCATCTTAATGCTATAGAGGTGGCCACCGCCTCTTCTGCTCAAGAGGGGTGACAAGTATGCAACACAAAGCGGAAATCAGAAGTGTGCAGAAACTAGTATTGGACATTGATTGTTAGTGGCATGGATTTTTCTGGTAAGCGTAGTTTTTGTATTGAGGATTTTGTTGACAAGGCGGAGGAGACCAGCCTCGAGAGGTCTCCAAGGTCTCCCTAATAATTATCCTATTTAACGTTCGTGGGCTTGGCAACCGATGAACGTTCCTACTATGAAGATCTTTCTTTGGAAATTACTTCAGGCTAAGAGGCCAATCTTGGTCTCCCTTACTTGTCAATTGGGGTTCTAGATTAAGAAAATTGGAGGTGGCGGTTGGTGTTTGGCTGGATATGTTATGATGCTCATAATACATCTCTGTACGAAGAATTATGATGCTTTCTTTAGATCATAGGAGACTTTCTTTGACAGTATATGTGTAGTGATGAGATGTGTTTCAATGGTTTTGCAGTTGGGTGATTGGCTGGATCTATTTTGATACCCATAGTAGCTGGATCTATTCTGATACTCAATGTACATTTTTGACTATGTACGAAAAACTATGATGCTTTTTCTAGATCATAGGAAGACTTCTTTGACAGTACCTACGTAATGATGAGATGTTATTTTAAGGGTTTTGAGGTTGGGTTCTAGGTTTGTTTGTTTTATATAAGTTGTTTGACTCTTATGTTTAGTCAATAGCATATGTGGTACTCTTTCCTACCCTGGGGTTTTATTTTCTCTGAGAAGGTTTTAACGAGGCCACCTTTAACATGCTAGTTCTTACCATGTATTGTTCCTTTTGGTTTACTGAAATACCATCTTTTCTACAATTTTTTTTCAAAAAGTCTTTTCTTTATATTTTTTTTGTTTTTTTTTTTTTTTTTTCTTTTTTTTTTTTTTTTTTTTTTTTTTTTTTTTTTGTTTTTTTTTGTGTGTTTTTGTGGTTGGCATGGGCTTTGTATGTTTCACATAATCACATGGGCTGGGTAGGAAAAGGTATGATTACATATAGGTTTTTTTTTTTGTTGGGAAAAAAAATTGAGTAGGCGGCTGCCTACCTTACCCTTGCTGTAAGACCGCCCCTGATTAAATTGGCTTTAAGAGATTGCAGTGTTGTAGAGTGATTGTGGTTTTGTGCAAAACAAATTATGTTTTTACAAATACACTCTCATGCTTTGGAAATCTTCGTAAGAGGAGATAGGCCAAAACCACTCAGGAAATGGGCTAATAATGACGTATGATTAGGCAAGAGAACAAAAACTGATACGGTGTTGAGTGGGGTCGAAGTCATCATCATGATTGAACTAACGAGAGATGAATATGGGAAGGTGTTAGGCAAAGTCATAACAAGAGAAGTTGTAGTCATTTCTATAGCGGAAAGAGCCATCACTGTCAAAGGTACCGCCGCACACTAGATGAAGGATTAGCTATTGACACATGCAACCTACACAAAAGTATAAAGGACTCATATTGGGAAAATGTGGTTCAAAGTCATAAAAATATCTAGGTGTAAAGATGATACCATTGGGTCAAATGAAGGAGGTAAAGGTGAAGATAATTGAACCTCAGTCATGGTTTCCCTCAGCCTTGACTTAGCAACTGCTTGTTCGGCTACATTCCTTTCAAGATCTGCCTGTTTTACTAGGTGCTTTTTCTTACCTAAAGAAGCCAGATAATAAGCAAACAAAAGTCATCAATATTGTCACGACCCGATCCGAGAATAAAGAATATTCTCGAATCAGGGTGCTTGAATTAAATGAAATAAAATAAAAAGACTGAAAAAAATGATTAAAATACATTTCCTTTATATATAAAAAAACAATAATAATCTTACAAGTGTACAAGATATAAATAAAATTTTATCACTCTAAACTAATCCAACTTCTCTGGTTTTGTCTTTGTCTTGCCCACTAATTGATCTGAAAAACAAAATAGGTGAGGGATGAGCAAACCACCGCTCAGTGAGTAGATTATGTAATATGCCAGTCAAACAATGTCATTTTACACACTCTAGAAAATATAATAAAGAGATACACAATCCAAATCATATCACATCATTACTTCATATCTTCGTTATCCTTCACAAATTGTACCCAGCACGTGACCCCTATTGGCCTCACTGCCCTATGTCCCCATCTGGTACATTTATCATTCGGATACCAGTCACTGAAGTTCTCATATTCCATGAATAATATGTACTTCACAAAAACGCCAAATAATATATATTGTATGAAATATTGCACAAATTAGACATGCTTGACTTGAAAATAGAGAGAGAGATTTGCAAATAGAATAAATCCATGATTTTCACATTTATCACAAAATAAGAACTTTTAGGACACATTACATAACCCACTCACCATGATAAGTATGAAATATTGCAAGACAAAAACACACGTTCTTCATCTTGTTTCTTTTCTTCCTTCTCTCTCTCTCTCTCTCTCTCTCTCTCTCTCTCTCTCTCTCTCTCTCTCTCAAACATTACTTCATGGTAGAAATCTATTCTAAAGAATTGGAATGAATGATTGAAGTAAGGAATGATTATACTTATATGAGAGGCTACGGATGCAACCAAATAATATATATATATATATATAATAAGATAAGATAGAAAAGTAAGGAAATAATGTGACTCATCCCCCTTTGACCAACGATATCACAACACCACTTGTTACTAGCATGCAAGGTGGCATGGCAATGATGATTTGATTAAAATCAATTCCAAGTCTTTACACGTGGAAAACAAGAATGGTGCCATCTTTCAACTAAAGAAAATATCTCATACTAGACTTAAGATTTAATAACATATAGGTCTTCACAATAAATATTAAATAACATATTAATAAATAATTAATATAGAGTATGAAAAGTTCTCACAAAAATATAAAGGGTAAATGGAGACAACATTTCATACATGGTGAAGAGATGCTAACGATGGGATTGTCCCATACGATCTCATCTACATTCACTTATTCCTTTTCTTCTTCCGATCCATATATGCCTTCGGTCTCACTCTCTTCATTGTAGACTGAATGAACAATGACATGGGTCGAACCGGCCAGCTTGGTGCAGTTCACAGTTTGAAAAGATATAGGTGTATCTAGATCCTCGACGCCTAGCTACTTGCTACCTCCCTCTCTCGATCTTTCTCGTTGTTATCTCCATGAGAAACTAAAACCAAACCGTTCATTCATCATCATTGCGGTTTTCTAGTGGGGCGGTTCAACGACCAGATTTGCTCTTCAGTGTTTGGTGGTTGGTGGTCGAGCCAACTTGATTTGGTTACCCAACCCACAAAGCATCCACATTTGCTGAGGTTGTTTGGGCCAACAAATTGATGACATTGTAGATAAACTCATCGAAAGAGAAGGCATGCTTTGGAAAATCCAGTAGCAGAGCTTATCAAATGAATGTAGTGATCAATGAGCCGTAAATTCAATTAATAATTGCGCATATGCCTAAAAGTGAAGATGCTATTTCAGCAAATTTCTCTTCTAAAAAAAAGTTATTGTTTTAATTTATTAGTGGGTAAGATGCATTTTTGTCACTCTATGTTGGAGGAGAAAAAAAAAGGAGATATTTAGTTATATACCCATTCTTAGGACTAATAATATAGATAAACTCTACACCATTTAATTTCTATAAATAAATCCAAAAAAACCCAAAAAATGACAGCTGACTCTATTAAATTTAATTTTGATTATTAAATTACTTTGATGCCTTATTGAGTGTTTTGAGTATTTTTTATGAGGTTTTGGGGTTGAGTTTGTTTTAAGAAATTGATGGTAATTTTGTAATTTATAAGAAGTTAAATTGTAAATGGACTTTAGGTGTATTTCTAAAGTTTATTTTATATAGGGTTTTTTAAATAATTTGAACCCATATATTGAATATAATAGTGAATTTTCAAAAAAAATAAAATAAAATAAAACAGAATAAAACAAAATAAAAAAGCGTAATGTTCCGCCTTGTTTCATGCGGTCGTGGCAATTTGTGAATGGGTCATTGACCACAATAGTCAGTAGTTGACTTCACAGCTAGAAAATAAAAACACAAAAAAAAAGGAAAAAAGAAAAAGAAAAAAAGAGTAGCCAACGCCACAGTCTCAGTCTCCCACCGGATCAATCAATCACTTTCGACACCATCACTCACTCAGATACACTCTCTCTCTCTCTCTCTCTAACTCACTATTTTCCCCCGCTTTTTGGCTATCTTTCCTTTTCTACGGAGCCCAAATTTCTCTCCCATACAAACACAGAGCCTCGAAGTAAACGAGCCGAGAATCTTGGAAATCGCCAAATTCCTACAGCCGTTTTGGCCACATTGGCTCGTCGTTTAGGGATATAAACTCAGTCCTATTAAGCCGCCATTGTTATCGTTCGTTCCTCCTCTTTGAGCTCGATTTTGAGCTGCGTAGCCTTAGAAAATGGAGCGTCTATTCGGAAATGAACTTCAATTGGATCAGTGATTGATCTCCGTGAAGCAGTTTAATCAACGGCTGTGATTGAGTCTCTCTACGAGAGGGAGAGAGAGAGAGAGGAGGGGAGCTGTCGAAGGAGGCAATGGGAGGCGTATTGGGTGCAATGGAAGTTAGGGTTTCGGAAGGGAAAGGGAGATTGATTCGTTGATGTTGCGCATGGAGAGGATGACTGCGGATCAGGCAAAGGCGGGCCCACTCGAAAGGGACATTGACTTGGTGATTTTTCATTCACTATGGAATTTTTTTATTTATTGTTTATTTGTTTTAATTTATTTTCTTGACGCTTTGCCCGTTTGAAGTTGGAAGCGTTAGTTAATGAGTGAATGAGAAGCTTCATTAATGATCATTTTGTGAATTGTTAACATAATTCATATTTATAGTTTTTTTGTTGTTGTTTTTGTATAAATTTTGCAAGGTCTTATAGTTGATGAGAGATGCAATGCATGCAGCCACTGGATTAAGTGTTGTTCATCAACATAATCTCATGTGGCATTTATTGTTGGATCGTCTTACAGAATATTGAAGGAGTTGTGCATTCACTTAGGAGATAGCTCAACCTTCGTGTCTACATTGCCATATTACATGGATTATTTCCTATTATGATGTGCCGCACATGTTTGTTTTTTTAATATTTAATGAACTTAGAAGATGTGTAAACAGTGTACCCCACTGATTCTTCTTGCTCTATGGTGCTATTAGTATTGTAGTTTTCCATACAGTTACCAGTTTGGAGAACATTTGTATTTTGTTCTAATTCATGTTCTCTGCTCATTTCAAAGCAGGCCATCACTGCTCTGAAAAAAGGTGCACAGTTACTCAAGTATGGACGCAGAGGAAAACCCAAATTTTGTCCTTTCAGGCTGTCCAATGTATGTCTTTGAAGACTAAAGTATTTTCTTAATGTTTTTGCATGCATATTTTTCTTTATTGCTTATCGTTCTCTATGCTGGAATTTCAAATGTAAATTTGAGTTCTTATGAGTAGCTGCTCTTGCATTCAAGTTGATTAGTGCATATTTATTAATTATTTCTTGCTTTGCTTAGTTTATGTTACAACTAAAGGTATGTCAAAGGGATCCGCTGTGAAATATTTGATGGCTTTAAAATGTATAAGAATTATATATAGAGGAATCGTCTCTTGTCACATTTTTGGCATGTTATGCTACTAGACTGTGAATTAGGGCCGCACTTTCAGATACAATTCTACTGCACCAACAGTCCTCATTCATAGTCTAGCAAGAATTTTTTTATTATATATATATATATGGTATGCTGCAAGGAGCATATCACATTAGGTGAAAGGGAATATCTGCTATCTCTGCACTCATTAGGCACTGCCTTTGATTTTCCTGCAATATTTGCAGTAATTTGAGAAGATACAGATACATAACAAACTGGTGCTCTTTTCTATTTTTTACGTGTATCTATATTGGGTTGGCTAAAAACTTGCTTTGTGGAATGAGTTATTTCATACTCTGACAAGCTTTTCATCACTGGAAATGTCAGCTAGTGTTTCTCAGAAGAGGATAGCAAATAGAAGAATAGGTGGAACCAATTTTTAACGAAACACCCCAACAAATTTTTTCATTTTAAAGAAAAAATTGATACAGTAGTGTAGTGGAGAAGGAATGACTACAAGATTCATTAGTACCCTTCCTCAAATTACTTTCTGTGGAAGTAATCAGCTTTATAGAGACATTGGTCTCTAGTGCATTATGGTTTTACTAACATTGCCCTCCGTTTGGATGAGGGAAAATAACTCGGAATTTAGCTAAAAGTCGGGAATTTGAAAGGAGAAATTGACAATTCCCTTGTTTGGTAACTTAAGCGTGGAATTTATTAAACGACGAGTGGAAAAATTCGTGGAAATTGGGGCATCAAATTCCCGAGTTTAATTTCCACAAAAATAGGTGTCATTTCACAATTTTCATAGTTCCATTTAGAAAATTCAACATACATAAATCCAAACATTGAAATCTTCAATTGCCAGAAATTGAAATGATGCAAATCTAAATTACATCATTTTAGAATTCTATGTAATTTTCAATTCCTTCGTCCAAACGGAGGGTTAGAGTTTGAAACCTTCATTGAGTTTGCTTCTTCAAATATGATCCCCATGCTAAATTAGGCACTTGAACACCATGCAAACCTTTTTATGTGCTACTTATATGACATTGAAAGTAAAAGAAAAAAGCATGAAGTTAATGACATAACAAGGGCTTTTATTCTGAACTAAATAATGTTGGTCTTGATGTTTTGCGGTCCTCGTCCTAAATAATGTTGGATGGATGCTTGCACATGCCCATATCTAGCAATCTTGATGTTGCAGTAATTATTTATCTGAAGCTCTTTTGTTCGGAACTACATGGCCTTATAAAATTCTTATACTTTTTATGATCACTTTCTTAAGCTTTAAGGGATCTGATAATCAGATTTTGTATGAGTCATTTATCGCAGTTTCTTGTGATTTAGCGAGCAAAGAAATCTTGTAGTGAATTTCCTTCTTTTTTTTTACTAAGGTTTTGAATGTTCTTCCGTGTTACTTCTTTCAGGATGAATCTTCTCTAATATGGTACTCAGGGAAAGAGGAGAAATATGTTAAACTAAGCCACGTCTCCAGAATTATACCTGGTCAGCGAACAGTAAGTTCTTCGTGTTGAGATCTCCTACGTCTCCTTAATGGTGAATACTGCAATAAATATGCCAATTATAGATGACAAGAAGAATATGATAACTTCACATCTGATGCTTTTAGGTTTGTATCTTTTGATTTCATTTGCATTGTCTAGCTTATTCTAAACATTGACCAAGTTAGTAGCATGGCTATAGCATAACTAAATGCGGTATGAAAACTATTAGGCTTCAATCTTCCATTCATATGATTTCAGCACTAAATTACACCTAGGTTAAAAAAGGTTGTAGAAAAAACCTACAGGGTATAATTGCCTTATTGCTAATCATCTGAAGGCCTCAAAGAAGTGAAGAAAAGTCCAAGAATTATATGCCATAACAGAACATTTCAATTACTGAATCTATTCTGGCTAGACGAAAGAGGAAAGGTTCATCAAGTTTTTGGGCATATTTCTTTGATCAATGTTGCTTGTTTGAAATTTTATAATTGAATATGAAGCATTTACTTCTTTGAATTTTGTTGCTTGGAATCAGTACATCTACTATGGAAGACTCATGCTGGAAACCTGTGTATCTTATTTGTTAGAGAACCATAATCATCATCTGGAGTGGTTATAGTCTCTGATATGGTATATTGTATGTGTTTGCCTATGCGTGTCTGGACTATCATATATGGTTGCATGGTAGGCTGTGGTTTGAGTAGTTATACAGTTCAGGAAAAGAAAGAAAAGGGACCTTACACCGTGACTTGGATGGTGGGGGTAGGCTGGTGTTTTAATCTGGTTCTAAGCTTAGACCTTGTACTTGCATGACTAATCTGTAACTCGTAAATTAGATGTTTCCAACTGTGTGCAGTCAGAATTTATGGGTTTTGTATTTTTTTTTCCTGGAGACTTATCTTTATATCTTTCTGAAACCATATTCCTCCGGACGATGTTGGGTCTCCTATTGATAAGGATTTTTAATGCTGTAATACTTGTTTGATTCGCTTTCTCATTTATTCTCAGCAATGACTTAACAGAACGTTCTTTTATTTGATATCACTGCAGCAAACCTTTCAGAGGTATCCTCGACCTGAAAAGGAATATCAGTCATTTTCTCTTATGTATAATGATAGGTCTTTAGATTTGGTAAGCATCTTCTTGTTGATGATTTCTGCTGTATTTGATTCTTGGATATTCTATTTTCTATGCTCAAGTAGTCTTCCTCTTTATATTAAACTGTTATATGATAAATTATGTTTTGCTTTCGCGACTTTCATTTCTCGTCAATATATTTCTTTCTGTACGTTTAACTTTTCTATGTATAACTTCGGTGTCTACCACACCCTCTATGCTCTTCCATAACTTTCATTTACTTATTGCTTACGCCAGATATGCAAGGATAAAGATGAAGCTGAAGTTTGGTTTACTGGTCTAAAAGCGTTAATATCACGTGGCCTTCATCAGAAGGGGAGAGCAGAATCAAGAAGTGGAGTTACATCTGAAGCAAATAGTCCAAGATCACATACCCAAAGAAGTTCTCCTTTGAGCTCTCCATTTTGTAGTGGTGATAGTTCGCAGAAGGTGTTCTATTTTTGCCTCTCTTGTTAATTCCATGTGTAAAACTGTAATATCCAAGTAAATAGTCTTCTTATAACTGATGCAGGATGGTGTGGAACCTTTTCATCTTCAAGCTACATTTGAAAGCCCTCCAAAAGTTGGTTTGGAGAAGGCTTTATCAGATGTCATGTTATATGCCCTGCCTCCCAAAATTCCATTTCCTTCAGACGCTGCATGTGGCTCGGTCCAGTCTCTGTCATCAGGAGGTTCAGATGGAATGAATGGACGAATAAAGGGTGCAGGTGTGGATGCTTTTAGAGTAAGTTTATCAAGTGCTGTTAGCTCATCAAGTCAAGGCTCCGGTCATGATGATGGTGATGCTTTAGGGGATGTTTTCATTTGGGGGGAAGGCATTGGTGATTGCTTTCTGGGTGGAGGATCACATAGAGTTGGAAGTTCTTCTAGTTGTAAGATGGACTCTTCTGTGCCTAAAGTCTTGGAATCTGCTGTAGTACTTGATGTTCAAAGTATAGCTTGTGGTGGACGACATGCTGCTTTCGTAACCAAGCAAGGAGAGGTATTTTCTTGGGGCGAAGAGTTAGGAGGCAGACTTGGACATGGTGTGGATGCTGATGTTTCGCATCCGAAGCTCATAGATGCTCTTAAAAATATCAATGTTGAATTTTTAGCATGCGGGGAATACCACTCTTGTGCTGTAACACTTTCCGGTGACATGTACACATGGGGTGGCAGTACTTGCAATTTCTCGCTCCTTGGCCATGGGTTTCAATCAAGTCAATGGGTCCCGAGAAAGCTAAATGGACCTTTAGAGGGGATTCATGTCTCATCGGTTTCTTGTGGACCATGGCACACAGCTGTTGTGACCTCTGCTGGCCAATTGTTTACTTTTGGAGATGGAACTTTTGGTGTTCTAGGTCATGGGGATCGAAAGAGTATTCCGGTACCCAGGGAGGTTGAGTCCCTTAAAGGTCTCCGCACTGTGCGAGTAGCTTGTGGTGTTTGGCACACTGCAGCAGTGATTGAAGTTATGATGGGGTCATCAAGTTCCAGCAACTGTTCTTCTGGAAAGCTTTTTACATGGGGAGATGGAGATAAAGGTCGACTTGGACATGGTGATAAGGAAGCAAGACTTGTGCCCACTTGTGTTGCTGCTTTGGTTGAACCCAACTTCTGTAAAGTTGCTTGCGGACAAAGTCTGACTGTTGCACTTACAACTACGGGCCATGTTTACACAATGGGAAGCCCTGTTTTTGGTCAACTAGGGGTCCCTCAAGCTGATGGGAAACTTCCATGCCGTGTTGAGGGAAAGCTAATGAAGAGTTTTGTTGAAGAAATTGCTTGTGGTGCTTATCATGTTGCAGTTTTAACTTCAAGAACTGAAGTTTACACTTGGGGAAAGGGTGCAAATGGTCGATTAGGTCTTGGGGATACAGAAGATAAATTTTCACCAACATTAGTTGAAGCTTTGAAAGACAAACAAGTCAAGAGTATTGTTTGTGGCACTAACTTTACAGCAGCTATCTGTCTGCATAAATGGGTCTCCGGTATTGATCAATCGATGTGTTCTGGCTGTCGCCTTCCATTTAATTTTAAAAGAAAAAGACACAATTGTTATAATTGTGGACTTGTGTTATGCCATTCATGCAGCAGCAAAAAGTGTCTCAAGGCTTCCATGGCACCAAACCCAAACAAACCTTATCGTGTCTGTGACAACTGTTTTAGCAAACTTAGGAAGGCAACCGAAACCAACTCTTCATCTGGACCTGCTTTTAGTAGAAGAGGAAGTATGAATCAGGGATTCAATGAACTAATTGAAAAAAATGTTAAGGAAATGGAAAGTGGATCTTCCAAAAGAAACAAGAAACTGGATTTTAGCAGAAATTGCGTTACTCCCATTCCAAATGGAGTTTCTGAGCGCCGTGCAGTCAATGCGACTAAATCTTTCAACCCAATGTTTGGATCATCCAAAAGTTTTTCTCAGCTTCGCTTCCTGGATCCAGAATTGCATCCCGAGCAACATCACCAACATCAAGACGATCTAGTCCACCTCGTGCAACAACCCCAACCCCAGCTCTTTCAGGGCTTACTTTGCCAAAAGTTGTGGATGATGCTAAGAGGACAAATGACAGTCTGAGTGAAGAAGTTCTTAAATTAAGAGCTCAGGTATATTGATTGTTTTTTATTTAATGTCAATTTGTGTGGAAAGTTGCTTCTGCTGTTCAGTATATAGCTATCCATGTTGGTAAAAAGGAGAATAATAAATTCACTTTGTCCAGAGGATAACTTGTCCAGCGGTTTAATTAACAATTTAATGTTGTTTGCAACTCCTGAGGTGATAACTAACTGTCTTTATTACTAATTGTAGTGGGTCTGTTAAAAAAAAGAAAAAAGGTTGTAGTACTAGTGGGTAATAACTTTGATGCTTATAGTTATATAACAAGTTTTTGGGCTATGAAAAGCAACAAAGTATCTCAACTATCTTTTCTTGTTTTCTTACAGTTGTTTCTTTCATGCTAACTTACCATGGAGATTAGGTTTCTAGAGTTCATATTTCTGGTAGAACGGAGTCTATGCAAGTTTACAATTTCCACACCATCTGTGCTTTTTATTGTGTTTCCTTTGCCTTCACTACGCAAAATTACATGGATGAGTCTAACTTCGTGCTTTTCAACTAATCAATCTCATTATGTAGGTTGAAGATCTTACTCGTAAAGCTCAACTTCAAGATATTGAGATGGAACGAACTACCCAACAGTTGAAGGAGGCTCTCACAGTAGCAGGGGAAGAAACTACAAAATGTAAAGCAGCGAAGGAAGTAATTAAGTCGCTCACAGCCCAAGTAGGTTTCATGCTCATGTTTATTGTGTTTTTGCATAAGGAAGGATGTGTAGTGTTTTAAACTCATCTGCCTTATTTATAGTTTATAACCAATAATATGGCAATTCTATTAGGACGTGCTAAAATCTAAGTTTTATCAGTGATGCGTCTTATCCAAAAAATCTAGGACAAGGTGCAAACAGAAGTCAAAATTATTATGTAGTTAAGAAAACTGCAACTTTATCCCTTTTCAGAAGCGCAGTGCAGTCCCTATCATGTGTAGGACGTTTCATATTACCCTTTACTTCACTAAGCCTTTTGAGTTCCAGGATAGTATGACATTCTTTTTGACAATGCTATAGCCACTTAACCATGTAGCTGAAATATCATTGTCTCAACAATCTGAATTAATGCCTTGTTTATTTATGTTAGTTAAAGGAAATGGCTGAAAGGTTACCGATTGGAACAGCAAGAAACATTGATACTCGTCCATTAGACTCTCCCAGTCCCACTCATGAAGTTTCTACTGCAGCCATTGAGAAAACAAGCAGTCCATTGACTTTCCATGAACCATATTCAGTTGTATCAAACAGCTTGACGATTTCTGACTTGCCAAAGTCCTACAATTACCACACTTCAAATCACACTGAAGTGACACATTCAGAAGCAACAGCTAGGCATAAGAACAGGGGAACAAAAACTGAAGCAACACATGGGGTTGAATGGGTTGAGCAAGATGAGCCTGGTGTATATATTACCCTTGTTTCCTTGCCTGGAGGAGTCAAAGATCTCAAGCGTGTCCGCTTCAGGTATGTCTCCTTTTGTGATTATGTCGTGCAGCCACTTTTTAACGATAGATTCTCCTAAATCTGTTCTGAAATAAATTTGTGTCTTTTTCCAAAAGTGGGATTTAATGTTGTCATTGTACGCATATGCATACCACAAATTAGGAGCTGTCTAATCTAGTCGAGGGCTAATGGAACTAATGACATTCCACAACTTATGTATTGCATACATGGTAAATTTCAGGGCCTGCTCATGCTATTAGGTTTTCATTTTGACATTCATAAATATGAAGTTTCACCTTTTCGAAGAGTATAACCTTTAAGTCTAAAAGTTGGTGTGTATTTAATCACATCTCTGTGTTAACCTTTATCTTTTATTTCTTTTCATCTTGCTGCTAGTAACTCTTCTTCACGGGTTCCTGTATGTCTTTTGCTTAAAGGCCTATGTATTTTCTTAGTAACGGAAGATGACATCTGTGTTAACTATACTTTTTGCCTATTCTATCAAATTGTATTTGTATTTAATTTTTTTTTGCCATGTATTTAATTGACAATGACTAAATTTTAAGTGCCTGAATTCTGTCAGTCGAAAGCGGTTCAGTGAGAAACAAGCAGAACAGTGGTGGGCGGCAAATAGGGGTAGAGTATATCAGCAGTACAATGTTCCGGTGGTTGAAAAACCGGGTATTCCCATGGGGAGAGAAGGGTTAGCTCATTGAGCTTGTAATGTGAAGATAAAAGTGGAAGGGCATGGGGAGAGAGAATGGTTAGCACATTGCACCTTTAGTTTTTCATTTTAAGGAGGCAATGTGGTATTTTTTTCCTCTCTTCCCTTGAATTTTGTCGTTACCCTTCTTATTCTTTGGCCCTTGAATGTATTGTCAACTCACCTATGCCTTTTTCTTTTCTTTTTTTGTTTTCTTCTTTTGGGGAGGGAAGTGATAAGAGTAGGTAGGCCATGTATATTCTTTGTAAGTACTGGAGTTAAATTCAAAGTAGCTTTCCTTGTAAATCCTTACTGAAGAACTATTTACATAAACAGCTCAAAAAAAAAAAAAAATTTCAAATACAAAAGTTTCAGAAACTTTTCTTTTGCTGGTTACCATGAATTACAAGGTGATTTTCTGATCCCCTACTTTTCCTTGGGTCAGATTTCTGATGCCTTATTTCCTCATTCTTGAAACTGACTCAGTTTAATCCCTCTATGCATGAAACCTACGTATTTAGGCTACCAAAGAATAAGAAACGAAAGGGCAACAAAATATAATATGATCTGCAAAACAAGAGGATGTCGTTGTTAAGCACTGCCTTTTTATTTATTTAAGAGGGTAAAACGTCCTGGCGCTTAAATTCAGTTTTACAACTAGAATTATCGTTGGCATGATATATATAAATTAAAAAAAGAAAGTCTTATCAACGGGGACTAGCCGAGTGGAAAAAGATCTTGACTTGTATTCTAGAGGTCTCAAGTTCGTATAGGTAAGAGATTGTAATACAAAAATGTTAAAAGGATTGTAATACAAAAATGTTAAAAGGTTTCTCCTTTTGTTTCTATTTATTATCCAAGTTTGATTTATTTATTTATAGGTCTAATGACATTTTAGTCCCTGGAGGTTTAGGATCAGTATCGAAATGGGCCCTGATGTTTCAATTTCATCAATTTCATACATGACATTTCAAAATATGACCAATTTACACCAGTCATTACATTGATCGTCAGGTCTGACGTTAAATGTTGACGTGACATTCGTGGGACCCACCACAAAACCTATTTCTCTCTCTTCCCCGCTACTCACTTTTCCCCCTTCAAACAATGACTGTTCGTCTTCCTGGCTACACAACTCCGCCTTCTGGGCACCTCTTATATCAACACAAGTAGACTAACTCGGGGAGCAAGTTTTGTTCTCGAACCTCAGCCAAAAACTGACCGAAATTGATCCAACTCTCAAATCATGAAATCGATCCAAACTACATATACCAACAACAAGAACACGTAGAGGGGATTAAAAACCATACCTTAATTGACGTCAATAGCCGTCGGAATAGGCATCGAAAGGCAAAACCCTCATTCTCCCTTTCCGAGCTCGTTTTGGAGTTGTGAGGAATTGGGGAGGTTGAGCATTGGCCTAGACATGGTCGATGGAAGTAGCCGGTCTTTTCCGACCAGTCTCGTAGTCAGAGGTGGCCGAATGGCGGTGTTGTGTCACCAGGAAGACGAACAGTCACTTTTTGCACAATGACTGTGTCGAATGGGAAGAGAAAGATGTGGGGAAGAGAGAGAAATAGGTTTTGTGCTGGGTTCCACGACTGCCACGTCATCATTCAACGTCTAACCTGAAGTCAATGTAACATTCGATGTAAATTGGTCATATTTTGAAATGTCAGGTATGAAATTGATGAAATTAAAACATTGAGGCCCATTTCGATACTAACCCTAAACCTCCAGGGACAAAAATGTCATTAGTCCTTAATTATATATATAAGATTTTGAAAACTATTCTTTCTTTTCATTTTATAACCGGTCAAGTCAATCTGTAAGTAAGAATTTACCGGGTTGCCATGTTCTTGTGGATCTTCTATCTTTTGCGGGAACGTTAACAGAAATGCTACAATGGAGGAGTTGTGAAAAGGATTCAATCCCACCATCCAATGAGAGAAAATATTGGACTTGAACTTTTTTAATGATTGAGTGGTTGGTTTGAACCCTCACTCAACCCCCACTAAAATTCCTCCCGGACGGTTAATATTTTGAGGATTTTGTTTGGGCTTCGGCCCTCCAAATTACTCACACGCAGAAAGCCTTGGAACGATTTAGGATCATGGAGTGCGGAAAGGCTATAATGAGGGCTTAAAGTGAGGAGCTTATTTGAGGAGGTCAAATCTCACCATCAACAAATGTAAAGAAATCATGGGACTTAAATATTTTAAATGTTTTGACGGTCGGATTGGTCTCCTCAAATAACCTCCTCACTTTAACTCATCATTGTAGAAGCTCCCCATGGAGTGAAACAATAAATTTAATCGGCAATAAACATTACAAGCATTTTCTTTTCCGGCCTTACGTTAACTTAGACCTGAGCACTTGTAGAAGCCATACAACTATGATACAATTCCCAATCAAAAAATTACTAGAGGATGCTCCCAAAAACAAAGCTGAAGCAAAGTTGGCTTTGTTGGTCAAACACCAATCACCATAAATGAGTCCTAAGATCTGCATTTGATTCAATTGTGGGCCTTCTTGACGGAAAATGGCATCGGCAAGATATCGGCAAAAATGGCAGGTTATCCATGCAAAAGTTGTCAAATGTTCTTGACGACTATGTTACATGACGGTCAAATTCCTGGACAGGGAAAAAGAATAAATGAGCAAACTGAACCGTAAAATATATCGATAGAAACTAAATAAACATGCTACATTGAAGAACTTCTGGTAAATGTCTCAAATAACCACAGTTTGCAATTATTTCATTCTCCATATAAAAAAATCACCCATTTGATTATCCTATGTTGTACATGGCCACACTAAAATAAATAAATAAATAAAAGAAAACAAGAAAAGGAAAGATTGATGCAAGCTGAAAGAACAATATTTCACACCAAGTTAATTATTCTGTAAATCGTTTTCTCATAGCAACAAATAACTTTCCAATAAAATGACAAATTACATTCAAGTCAAAACTCCCCAATCAAGAGAAACTATACTAAAACGGAATATCTCCAAAATGTTTGAACAAGATGCCCAGGGAGAAACAAAAAACTTATCCTATCCCAAGGTGCTTCCACTTTCTCCTTGGCATCAAAGATCTATTCATTTCCAACCAAACAGTCCATATAAGAGCTAAGGCCGCACACCTCCATATAGTGACCACCTTGTGATTAGAATTACTTAACTGTGACCTCACTGTTGAGTATCTAGAGTAGATAAAAACCCCTACATAGTACAGTCAACAGTAAGATCACAAATACTTTTTTTAAACGAAGACAGAGGGGTGGAGCTGGGACTTGCAAGATCAGTGCAATACTGGAGTCCACTCTTTTCTCATCAAGAAGCATGTATGCCTCGAGTTTACCAAATTTGACCGCATAAAGTTATATTCTAGATTTTTCCATATCCAACAGACGGGGGAGGGAGGGAAAACTTCCAACAATAAAACTATCCTCACAAAACACAAATGTCAACCACGATTGCTGTCCCAAAGCCAGCACATGTATTTTATGCTAATTCAAGGTATCACACAGAGATCTAGCACAATGATATGCCATAAAACATCATGCACAAACCTTTACATAGGATTTGTCCGCACAAAGCTAATTTGAGACAGATAATTGCTCTCAGCAAAATCATGTAATGAACGGCGAGTTCGTGCCCCTTTAGGGTCAGATTTTCCAACCTCCTCCTTTAAAAATCTTCTGCACTCATCAGCATCCTGAAGCAACATAAGTAAGTATATAGCTCACAAGTTAAACACTACGAACTGAAACCATTGCTAGAGTTTACCTGTAAGAACTCCAGCATTTGCTCTTCAATTGTACCGCGCATTGCAAGAGTTTCCACGTGTATTGGACGAGTAGCACCCATCCGATGAGCACGACTAACAACTTGTTCCTCCATGCTAAAGAAGTTTCAACCAACAGAACAAATTAATGTCATGTGGGAAACATTTTGACTACGGTATTTATAAACTATTAAAGTAACTATGTAGTGAATCAAATAAATAGCTTTGATCTGTGAAATAGACAGGTTAGAACAGAAAGTGAAAGTTCTTTTCCAAGTAGAAGAGTTGTTATTTATTTATTTTTGTGAAATGGGCATGTGATATTTTTTTAAATAGAAAAAAAAAAAAAAAAGATATTAGGAATTTGAGAATTTGATAACCTTCTGTCCCATATTGGTTCCATTAAAAATACATGTGTTACAAAGCTCAGATCGAGACCCAGTGCAGCACTTCCATCCATCAAAAGAACCGTGCAACTAGCATCATGCTGGAACATCGCCAGTGACTTCATCTGAACCAATGAAAGTAAATTAGTTTTACACCAAAAAATAAGAATTTGAATTACCTAAGAGCATGTGACAATCAACAAAATATATAATAGAAGAGGAAAAAACATGTACCTTGTTGCTAGAATGCATTGGACTATACATTCCAGCATATTTAATACCAGCAATGGTCAACTGACAAAAAAAGAATGAAGTTGAAATCCCATTACTTATACAAACACACATAACAACACAAATCCATAACAGGGTATGGTATACAATAGTCACCTGCTGTTCAATAACATGTATATGCTCAAGAAATTGAGAAAATACCAAAACTTTTTCCAAATTTGTTTCATGAGTCTTGGTGGTCCTTTTAAAGTCATGAACTTGCGTCAGTCCTTTTGAATTGCTCATCTCAGACAGACAAACTAAATTGTCAGTGCGCATGGCATTATTGTTGTCATCCGGAGGGCAATCAACATTGCTATTAGCTTCCTGCAGTGCTTTCAATTTCTGTACAACATAGGTGACTTTACTGCTAGATGTTGACTGCCAATCAGGATCCCAGTTATCCTGCATAAAGCAAAAGGCAAACATCGGTAAAGTTCGTCCCAAAAAAAACAAAAAGCAAAATGAAAATAGTTAAACTTGTCTTGCCTGTTTATATGAGGGTTGTAACTCAATAAGATCTTTGGGAACAGGCCACTTAGGATTGGGATTTTCTGGCCGAGTTAG